CAATGTTTCACGTGTATCACAATGCATTTTCTTTATTTTATGAAATGTATCATAGTATGAATTTTTGTTATCTTCATTGCTTTACAAATGGTATTACATTGTGCATCTTGTATGTATTTCTGGGTATCACAGTTAATATCATTTGTAGGTATCACAATGTATATCTTGTGTTCACATAAGGTTTATCGAAATAAGATTCGCCAGAAAGAGAGGAAAGAGGAGAGATGAGAGAGTATATTTATAAAAATCCTGAAAATGCCCTTAATTAATATTTTAAATTAAAATTACCAAAATTATTCATTTAATAAATTTAACATTTAATTTGTGGTTGAGATTGGATTTCACGGTTACCCTAAACAAAACAGTTCTCGTTTGATTAGACTTATATATATATATATATATATATATATGTGTGTGTGTGTGTGTGTGTGTGTAAGAGAGAGAGAGATAAGACTGTTTTTATGAGACAACATATTTACACTTAAAACTTCACAACAAAATACTATGAATGTAACTTTCATAATATTTTTGCTGTGAATGTTTGATAAAAAAAAATTACCTGCACAATGTTTTACTTATATATATATATATATATATATATATGTGTGTGTGTGTGTGTGTAAGAGAGAGAGAGAGATAAAACTGTTTTTATGAGACAACATATTTACATTTGAAACTTCACAACAAAACACTATGAATGTAACATTCATAATATTTTTTGCTGTGAAGGTTTGATAAAAAAAATTTACCTGCACAATGTTTTACTAATAAATTCTTTATTTTGCTCTAAACTACCACCTGTTTTTCTTGCAATTCAACTGAATTTGAGATGTGAAATTCCTTAAGCAAAAAATCACATCATCTCTTAGGGAAGTGAATGTTGTAGGTTGCTAAACTTCATATCATATCTATCAATTATGTGTCCAATCGACATCGATTTTCATTTCAGAAAATTCCGTCATCTGTTACATATTCTTAACAAAACGTGAATTCAATATCACATTAATTCATTGCATACACATTTTGATTTTAAAAAAATGAATCAGAATGTGTCACAGGTCAAACGGTTTGAGTGGGGTTAGTTGACATGTTGGACCGCAACCAACGTTTTTCCTTTATTTTTATATGTTTGTATTTTATTGCCAAAAGAAGTTTTGAAACACAAAACTTCACGATGTCGTTTGGTACGAGTTTTTATATTCTGTAACATGTCTTTTTTACCATTCAGAAACAAAGAAGTTGGGTTATAAACACGACATCTGGTCTACATACAATTTGTTTGATATAATTTTTTAAAACATTAATTAATTATATTATATTATTTAAAAAAATAATATTATTATTTTATCACAAACGAGTGGCCATCCCTAACTTTAGTGATGGAATTATTTAAATATTTAACATGCTCATAATATTAATATTAAATGAGTGACTACGAAGTTTAACCTAACCATCATTCTTTTCTTTAACTAATTCTATTTATTTAATATTTTTATTTAAATATACAGTATCTTTTTAACTGTGAGTCTAGATGTGAACAAAACAGACAATATCTAAGGAGTTGTTTGTTTACCTCTTAATAGTTTTATTAAGAGGCAACATCTGAATCGTTAAGAGGTGAATCTTGTTTGACAAAAAAAAATATGTCTCTTAATGGTTCTAAACCCTCTTAATGATTTTGTATCATGGGTATCCCTTAACCATTAAGCGTCATAATTTCATTGTAAACAATTACCAAACAATTATATTTCTTTTTACACTATATCATGAAAGCATTTAATCATTCTGACCATTTAATCATTCTGCACCAAACCATTCAACAACTGTCAAACAGCCCCTAATACAATGATCTAAGGTGTGAACAAAACAGACAATATCTGATACACTGATCTAAGATGTTACAAATACTTACACGTTGGTTGTCGTTGTTACTCATCGATGTTATTTTCAATATTGACAAATATCATTATACGATAACGGCATGTAATTAAGATTTAAACTCAATAATTTGTTTTATGTGTGTATAATAGCTGATTTTTTTAAGAACCGTGGGTCAAGATGTGGACAAAACGAACAATATCTTGTACAGTTAGCTAAGATGTTACATTGATTGTTTAAGTATCTTAAGAGAGTGTTTTATCAAATTTAATTTTATTGGAGCAAAAAATAAATTGTCCTATCCAAAGTGTTACAATAAGTTTACGAGACATTCTTGGGTGTCATGATTAGTTTTTTAAAATATTTTAAAAGAAAATGTCATATTAACTATTTTATTGGATGCTATTTTAAAAAAAATCCTATAAACACAAGTGTGCTATAGAAAATATGGGTTTATAGGACACTATAAAATAGCTAATATGATATTTTATTTAAAAAAGATCTTAAAAACTTGTTACGATACTCTAAAAGATTCTATAAACTTATTGTAACATTTTTAAATATCTGGTTTATTTTTTGGTCATATAAAATTAAGTCTTATAAAATACTCTATTAAGACACATAAACATTTTATGTGTTCTAAAAACCCGATTTTATTGTAGTGATTGATGGTCAAATTATTTTGTTTTGAATAAATTACGGATTTGATCCCTAAGATATGTCAAAAATTATGGATTTGATACCTTAACTTCATTTATTACAAAAGAACCTTCCACGTATGCAGTTTGTTAAGGATTTGGTCACCGACCATCGGACCTTTGAAATCGAAACCATATGAGGTAAAATCCATTTGAAATCAAAATCATTTGAAATCGAAGGAGAACCGGGACGAACACATCTATGTGTTTTACATCTTCTCCAGTGATCTAAATTGCATCTGTGTTTTGTTGCAGATCTGAATTTTCTCCAACAAACATTGGAACGAACCACAGGGATGAACCACAGATCTGCAGCACCACTCCTCCATCTCCATCTCCAGCGAGGGATGTTGATTTTTGTGACTTCCCTCGCTGATTTGCGAGGGATCAACGAGGGAAGTTGTAGAAGAAAGTTCCCTCGCAAATTAGCGAGGGATCAGCGAGGGAATTAGTTTTTTTGGAACTTCCCTCGCAGATCCCTCGCTGATTAGCGATGGATCTGCGAGGGAATATTTCCCTCGCAGATCAGCGAGGGATCAGCGAGGGAATGAGTTTTTTGGAAATTCCCTCGCTGATCCCTCGCTGATCAGCGAGGGATCAGCGAGGGAAYTTTTCCCTCGCAGATCAGCGAGGGATCAGCGAGGGAATGTGTTTTTTGTCATTTCCCTCGCTGATCCCTCGCTGATCTGCGAGGGAAAAATTCCCTCGCTGATAGTCGTCGCTGATACCTGGTTTTCTAGTAGTGATCTACATCTTCTTCAAACCTCATATTTTTTTGTCCACAAAATACCCAAAAAAAAACCCCAAACCCCAAATCTTGTAACCTTAACAGCCATCATACCAACATCATAAAAAAGATTTTGATTTCTTGCAAGTTTCACAACAAGAAAGCCATTGCACTCTAATTGGAGTTAGGTTTGCCCTAATTAACAACTCCCCTTTTTCGTCAGAGCTTTTTATGCAATTGTTGAGTTGCCATAGTTGGCGGGTTCGTCCATGCAACTCGTGGAACCCTCTAGTGTTCTCTTGTTGCCCACTTAGACAATCCATGTTTCAAGCATTGTTGAATGGTAAATTAGCATTTTACTTGTTTTTACTGATCGATTGATTGTTAAATAATTTGTTACATGTTGAAGCTTAGCTTTTGATACAAATCTTGTTAAACTTTGATATTAATATTAATCTGTTTGTATTAATTGCCATAAACTGTAATGTATTGATTTGAGGTTTAGATTTTGGTTTTTGTTTGAATTTATATGATTTTGATTTAAAATATTCTTGGCTTTCTTGATGATTAGATCTGGAGAAGATGAATATTCAAGAAAAGGGTATAACTAATTGAAAAAATGGTAAAATAAAAAATAAAGTTAAAAAGACCATAATACCCTTGAATTTGACGGACAAATTCGATGGTGTGTGAAGGACCAAATCTATAACTAACCATATACGTGGAGGATTTTTTTGTAATAAATGAAGTTAGAGACCAAATTCATAACTTTTGACACACCTTATGGACCAAAACCATAATAGAAAATTAATTAAAGTTACAAATAAAATATCACTACAACAAAATTGAGTCTGTACGATGTCCAAAATATTTAAGTGTTTTAGTAGCATGTTTTATACGTCTTAAGTTTATAAGATCAAACAATAAAGTAGATTCTCTCAGAGTGTTACAATAAGTTTATAAAACGCTTTTAGGCATCATAACAAACTCTTAGAAAATTTTCGAAATAAAGTGTCATATTAATTATTTTATAGAACGATTTTAAGAAATGTCTTATAAGCCCATCTTTTTGTAGGACACTAGTGTTTATAAAATACTTTTTCAAATAACATCCTACAAAATAGTTTACGAGACACTTTATTTGAAAACCGTCTTAAAAAACTTGTTATCCAAAAACGTCGAATAAACTTATTGTAAGATAAGACGTTTTTTTATTTGATCCTATAAACTTAATTTATTTAAACATCTTATAAATTCGATTTTATTGTAGTTTTTACATATTATAAACGAAGAAAATGTATTTTTTAATTGAAAATTTATTAGAAACCCCAAGAATATTCTATATTTTGGACCCCATATATAATAAAATTGTATTTGCTCCATCCAAAACATACAACACCTACTATTTTTGTTTTCATGCAAAAAAGAATACAATAACATTTATTAATTTAAGTTTGTGTTTATTTATTAATTATTAATTATGATTTAAAATTAATAAAAAAAATTAGAATTTGTAAGAGTTGAAAGCTTAAATGTGTGTATTTTGAAGATCCAAAAATCGAGCTAAAAAGATGTGGTCAAATTGAGTCCATGGATGGCCTACTGGACATGGAAACCGTGCAAGATAAGGCTCACTTCCATTTCTCTCTCTCTATCTCTGTGTGTGTGTTTTGTATGTGTGTGTTTTGTGTGTCTGTGTGTGAGAGAGAGATAGAGATAGAGAGAGAAACAGAAATATTCTCTTTTGGAGTAGCTATCATGTGTGTGTTTTTTTCTCTACGATATATATGATTCAAACAAAGGCAAAAAGACGAACATCTGTCTCTCAACTTGATTCACAATTCAAGAAAAATCCATGGCGTTTCTTGCTGTTTCTGGTTTTCTTCATCTTCATTTGAAGAACATGACTTGATGAGTTACATACACCCATCATCATCATCATCATCATCAAATCATCGTCTTCATCTGTATTTGGTTACACCTTCTTTTCTTGCTCATAAATCGCGTTAATTTATAGTTTATTTTCTGCAAGAATCGACAAAAACGATGTCTAGTTACAGATTCTCTTCATGTTTGATGAACAAGACACAGCCATCATCATCATCATCATCATCATCTTCTCATCTACATCAGATTCATCTGTAGTTGCTATAGTTAGAAGCTCCTTTCTCGTTTTTATTCTTCAAGAATCAAAGAAGATGATATCTGGTTATGGGTTTTCTTCATCTTTGAAGAATAATTGAGTTCCAGCTGCCATCTTCATCTTCATCTGTCTGTAATTTTGCTAGCTAGCAGTTAGCGTTTTGTTGTTCATCATTCACCACTTTGCTGGTGTTTTTTTCCCATGAAAACGATATCTGAAGAACATACAGCAATCAACATCATCATCTTCATCTGCTAGTGTTCATCTGTAATATTTATTAGTCAGAAAGAAAATCTTCAATTGTTCACCACTTACCCTAATTTGTTGTTTTTTTTATTCAATATCCAACAAAAATGATGTCTGGTGATGGGTTCTCATCGCCACCTTCTTCCCTCACCTCCTTCATCCACGACCCCATCCCAAACCCTAACCCTAACCCTAATTCATCAGCTTCAGGTAAACGAAAACGTAACCAGGCCGGTAATCCAGGTAAAACCAAATCCATCTTCTTCGTTATTCAATTGAAATATCTATATATCTATATCTATATATATATATTATATATAACAGTTTGATGATTTTGCTTAATTGGATCCAATATATATAGATCCAGATGCTGAGGTGATAGCGTTATCACCAACTTCTCTAATGGCTACAAACCGATTCGTCTGCGAGATATGTAATAAGGGTTTTCAAAGAGACCAAAATTTGCAGCTTCATAGAAGAGGACACAACTTGCCATGGAAGCTTAAGCAAAGAAACAAAAACGAAGTGATAAAGAAGAAAGTGTACATATGCCCAGAGAAGAGCTGTGTTCATCATGACCCTTCTCGAGCTCTCGGAGATCTCACCGGAGTTAAGAAGCATTTCAGTCGAAAACACGGCGAAAAGAAATGGAAGTGCGAAAAGTGTTCGAAGAAGTACGCAGTCCAGTCAGATTGGAAAGCTCATAGCAAGATTTGCGGTACCAGAGAGTACAAATGTGATTGTGGAACGCTTTTTTCCAGGTACATATATGTTTTCAATTAATTTCTCAAACTCATTAGATTTCGATTTCGATATTGAATCAAATTCAAGATTATGCATCCAGATTCAATACGTATAGATATGTATATATAGATTTGCATGTTTGTGTATGTTAAAACAGGAAGGATAGCTTCATAACACATAGAGCATTTTGTGATGCTTTAATGGAAGAAAATTCAAGAATGACATCACTTCCGGTGGTTCCAAACATGACGAATCTGAGTTTTCGGAGCGATTTGATGATGATGAATGCCGGTGGCGGTGGCGGTGGCGGTGGTGGTAACGGTGGTGGTGATACACAGTTTCAAGGTATGTTTCCTGGAGGTCTAGAAGGTAATCTAGATGTCAATGGAGCAAAACCAAGATTGCCAATTTGGTTAGACCACAATGCCAACAATCCCCATCTTGAAAACCCTAACAATTCAACTTTTTTGGGGTCGTCGAGCTCGAACTACAGCAATAGCGGAATGCTACCATCGGAAATGGTGAATTGGTTGAGTAGATATAATGGATTACCACAAGGGTTATCTTTAAAGGAGGAAGAAGAGAACCAAAAAGAAATGCAGATGAACTCTATGTATAATTATGGCGGTTCCACCACTCAAAACAACCTCCTGTGTTCAACTCTGCCACCGCCACCGGTGGCTAACATGTCCGCCACCGCTCTCCTACAGAAGGCAGCTCAAATGGGGTCAACAAGAAGCACAAATGCCGGAGTTTCCGGTGGAAACGATACCGGATTTGGGCTCATGAGTACAACTCTCTCCAGCTTATCAAGCCCCGCTAGAAACGGCGACAGACTGATGATGATGACGGCAGCGGCCGACGGATCGACACCAAACAAAGTAGCCGGCGGCAATGAGTTCGGCGACGGCGATTTAACCAGGGATTTTCTCGGCGGTGCCAGAAACGAGCGGAGTCATGTATCGTTTAATTTACAACAAGAGCTAAGCAAGTTCGCTTCTTCCACGATGGGATTCAGCCAATTCAATCGAAATCGTGAATAAGAGAGTCGGGATTGTCGTTGGACGATGTAGTTTTAATCAGCATCGGGAGATTGTATTTAGCAATGCTTTCGGGTACATCTTTTTGGACGATTTACTTTTAGTGACAGATTTCTGTCATAAATGCATCACGAACGGTTTTAAAACAACCTTTTAAGTTGCTTTTTACGACGGCCATTATATTTGTTTGCTAAATGTTTGCACATGATTACCAGAAAATACCATATCTTCACACTGTAACTATTTTTTAACGATAATCAGTGGAAGATTTTCGTTACATTAAATAGAAGTAGAAACCTATATTTTAAAAATACGATATTCATAAAATATTAATTAGAAAATCACTAAAATGTACTATATTTCAATAGCAACAAAATTTGGAATGAATTTTATGAATATTTGATTCTTTTTTTCATATTCTATTGTTAGGGTATATAAATATGAGTTAAATAACCATAAGAATGGTGTCTGCTTGGTTTGAGCTTGGCTTTAAAGGCCAAAAATATCAGGAGATCTCGGGTTCAAATCTAAGGTGGAATAAATATCCTTTTGTGGCCACAGAGGTTCAAATGCAGTGACTCCAGGATATCTACAAAGCAGGTGGTCGCCTGTGATCAGTCGGCTCGCATAGCGGGTTGGATATCCAGATTAATCAAAAAAAAATGAGTTAAATGTTTATCTATTTTCATTTTTATTATTTTTCTATTTTTTACGGATAATAAATTTATATCTATCCTATGCCATTGTATAACTAGCTTGCTAACAAGTATTGTGTGAGAAAAGAAGTCATGATGAATCACGTAAGAATAGATTTGAACCGTTGATCACTTTTATAATTACCCATGAATTACGCTTTGTAAGAAAATTGATCTGTTACATTTCGATGCACCTCATTATAAATGTTGACGTCGAATTAGGAATTATCCAAGAATTGAGATTTGTTCTTACGCTTCTTACCATAACTTACTTTGTCACCGGAATCCAACCCTCATATATCATTGGTATGTTATAAAATGTCTCATAAAAAAAACTCTTGAAAATAATTAATTAAGTGTTAAAAAAGATTTATCAACATATAATTTTTTAAAATTCAAGCTTACAATTTATTATCATACACTATGATTTATAACTCTAAGATCCATGTTAAAATTTCATAAAACAAACCGATAAATACATAAATAACGACGAGTTTTACCAACATATATTATTTTATAATACTTAATTGAATTGTCACAGTTATAAAACTAATTGTTAAAACGTAAATTTTAATTTTTTTTATTAACCTGGATATCCAACCCGTTATGTGAGCCGACTAATCTCAGGGCGACCACCTGTTTTACAGATAGTCCGGAGTCACCGCATTTGAACCTCCGTGGCCACAAGGAGATTTTTATTCCTCCTTGGATTTGAACCTGGAACCTCCTGATGCTTTTGACCTTTGAAGTCAAGCTCAAACCGATCAGACACCACCCTTGTGGTTAATTTTCCTATTTTTAGTACATGGTATAATGATTTTACATAACCATTTGAGTTGTGATGTTCTTGGTAAGCCATAAGGGTATGATGAAAAATCTCATCTAACCTGGTTTTAAATTCAGACGCTATCAAAACTCTTGTGACAATGAAGGTTTATTTGCGATAACTCCAAGATATTCATAGTGAGAGAGGTTTCAGTTACCAAAAAGAAGTTAGGTATTATATTTACATTGGATATATATATATATATATATACAAGCGGTGTATGTATCATGTATGTGTATACATACATACATATACATACATATATATATATATATATTAGTAGTTAATTAATTTATGAGGAGGAGATGGAGGTCTTGTGAATTGTCAGGAGAAGGGGAGAAGACAAAAGAGAGTGAAACAAAGGAGCGTTCGCATTTGCATGTCTTTTATGGAAAGCCTTCTATGGTTCTGTACAACTGTTACTGCACTTGGTACTGTTCGGTCTGTGACCATCTAACCCCACCATCTTTTTGTTTTTAATTTTACCATTTCCCGTTATTTTTCTACTACACATTCGGTCCCCTCTCGTTATTTCAAAATCACCGATCGCGTCTACTCTACCCTTCGGTTTTATGGGATGACGTCTTTGTGGTTTCATTTTTATTACGGATCGGGTCATATCATGTCCTGTTTTAAAAGTTATGGGTATTTTAGTTGATTAAAAAAAACATTTTAAGAAGCCAACCATTGTGTTCCCGAAAGCGATATGATCACCGAGACTTGGTCATGTTTTACGACCATCTCTGAGTATATAAAAACGTGATTGTTGGAAAAATGAGCGATGAAGGAGACTCTGAGTTTGGGGGCAGGGGTTTTGTATGATAACGCGAGTATTCTTATTGGATATCCATTGGATCGGATTGGATCCAACCAATATTAATTGGATTGGATCCAACCAATATTAATTGGATTGGACCGGCTTGGATCCATCCAACATCCAATGGACGATCTGATTGGATCCATCCAATGTTTTAAATCCGATTTACAATAATTGATATAATATTCCAAAATACTTAATTTCATCCGTCCAATCACTAGTGTACTAAAAAAGTAACTAAAAACATACAACTTCATCCGGACACTTTTTCACCTCATCAGTGCAATAATCAAGTAAAGAATGTGTGAAGCACATCTTAATTAAGTGCATGTGTTGACCTCCCAAAATTGCACCACTCCATTCATTAACAGTATTAATGACATATTAAACCGACACATTATTAGATGACGCATTACTCTTTACGTCTTAGTTGTTGTTTGTGTTTTAAATTTTTAGTTTTAACTATTTTCTTTTTCATTTTTTCAGCTTTTGTTAAATAATATATTAAATTATTAATTGGATGGAAATGGATGGGGTATTGGATGATAACTGGATGGTAATTTGGTCGGTTCGATCGATTCTTATCGTTTCTGGACTGTCATCCAATAACCAACCAATTTAAATTGGATGTTGAAATTTTCGATCTGATCCGATCACAATTGGATATCCAATCGTCGATGGTCGTAACTAATTTGATCGATCGGTTCTAATTGGATCGAATGACTTTCTGCACACCCTTAACACTAATACGCACCATTCCAATATATGTGTTAAAAGAAGATATACACAAGAAATATACACGAAACAGACTGTGACACATGTTGTATCGCATGATGCAAAACGGTGTATCACTATGGGGGCTTGGTATCAACAAATAGACCCTGATGCATTGTGATACCTTTTGTAAAACCCATAAATACACTTTGATCCATTATGATCCACTAAATCTAAACAAAAACGAACTCGTGTTCGAGATTCTGAACCAGATCTGCAACAAATCCAAACAAAACACACAAAAAACCAATATTTAAACCAATTGACACTGGAGACTCGCTTCATCACAGATCTCTTCGTCTTTAGCTGGATTTGTTGCAAACCTTTCATCGTTGTTAAGATCTGATTCGTCGTTGGCTCGATCTGTCTTCTTTGAGCTCCTCATCTATTTTCTTAGTCTTGATGGTGCATATGGGTTTGGCTCCAAGCAATGCCACCAGTATCTCAATGGTCCTAACCACACCATTGCTATCACGGTCAGCAAATGCAGCCAACTATCTTTGTCCTGAACCGTCACCCATGCCTGAGAATTACGGTCCTCCGTCGTATCGAAACGCTATGATAGGGAGTCCAATTTCCACAACTTCATCTGCTTTCGATAAATCCCATTCTTCAAAATCCCATGTTTTTACCTAGTTGCAAATAAGGTTGAAAGTAAATTTCGAAACGATTCAATCCACATCATTGACATTCATTTGATAATTTGTACGGACAATTGAGATTGGTAAGGTGTGCAACATTTACATTGTATGTGTTTAAAGTGGCCATTTATGTATATATACACACACATATAAGTGTGTGTGTGCGTGCATGCGTACGCGTTCGATTTCTTTTAACTTGCTAATTAGTAAGATTCGTGAGATCCAATTTAAACCATAAAAAAATAATTGAGAAAAATATCAAAAATAAATTGAAAAAACTTTCTTTTCTCTCCTCTCTCGTCCTCTTTATCTTTCTCCAATCTCTCATATTTTCTCTATCATCTCTTTTTTTCTCTATGACATATGCACACAATTAAATATGAAATCAAGAAGGACACATTATGAATACTTTCTTAGAAATACTTTTATGGTTTGTGAATTCATTGTGATGCATTCTAAATCTACGAGATATGGTATAGTTCACATATGAACTTAATTAACAGGTTCACATATGAGCATATAGTTCATATGTGAATCACATGGGTTCACATATGAACGCGTTTGGCGCCTATTTGTAAAAGTTATTAAACTACCAATCCTTCTTCCGCATATCTATGTGAAAAATTATCCGGTGCTTCATAGTCAAAGTTGTAAACATTGACCAGATGATATGCTGGGATCACTTCTTTACTTCTCAAATATTTATTATTTCTCAAATGAACATTTCCCTCTGTGTGTGTGCGTGCGTGCGTGTGTGGGAAGAGAATTTATATTGAAAAGCGTAAGAAGAGATCTTCACTTTTGGATCAATCATAATTGAATATCAACGTTAATGAGATACGCCGAGATGCATCAGATCAATTCTCTTCTAAAATACAATTTATAAATAAACATGAGATTAAAAGTAATTAAGAATTCAGATATTATTTTACATTTTTTATCATGACTTCTTTTTTAGACAATAGCTCTCATTTTTAGAAATATAACAATAATTTTAAGACATTAATGCATAAGGATAAAGGAATGCCAAATATTTATCCAAAAAGATTGACACTTGACAACATGGATGGTAGGATAACAAAGGTTGCAAATATTTTTAAAAAACACCCCCGCACTCTATCACACCCCTCTCAACAGACCAAAAAACAAAAGGTAGGATCCAATTTGGTAATCCGATCTGGGACAGTCATGACCGTCTATCGTCACAAACAAAACATCGCCATGAAAACGATTACTCCGGCAATGGAGCCATGCAATTGCCGATCGAAACTAACAGTACCGGAGGCGTCGGCGTTGACAACACCGTCATTGGAAGACGGAGTATTCTCATCGGCGTTCGATTTCTTCTTAGTTTTCTTAGGCTCCGGTGCCGGCGCTGGCGCTGGTGGACCAAACAAGCTCATTGGTAATAGCACTTTGTCCACTTGATAGACAGCAAGAGAACCGTCGCTATAAATAGTGTTTGCCACCGTGGCATCAACGACGCCGGTCGATATGTTCACCTGGTTGCCGGAGGTGGTTATGTTTAACGGAAACTTGTAATGGGTACTCTCTCCTGCCTGTGTCCTTAAAGGATTACTAACAGTTTGAAACTGTGAGGTGGAGATGAACGTCGGAACGACATGAAACTGTACTAATTCGACCTTTTCTTGATCGGAGAGGGAGTTCAGGGAACCGGCTTTGAGGCCGGAAAATGCATTATCGGTGGGTGCAAAAACGGTGATGCCCTGATCGGAGTTGTTGAGTTGGGTGTTGATTTGGTCGCCGACTTGGGTCATGCGAAAGAGGCGGAGGAGAATGGTGTATTGGCTGGCTTTTTCCAAGATTTTGGTAATGTTTGTGGGTCCTGGTGGTGCCGGCGCCGGCGCGGTGGTCTGAGATAGGGTGGTGGTGGCGCAATGGAGAATGAGAAGCAGCAAGAATGGAGATGAGAGGAATTTAAATGATGACGTCATATTTAATTAACTATATATATATATATAAAAAAAGGAAAATAGTGGGAGAATGGTTGAGATCCAATGGTGGATCGAGTGTTTTTATACCGGGAAAAACTTTTAAATTACTCTATCTAAATTTAAATATTCTTTATTATTATTTTTTTATTAACCTGGATATCCAACCCGCTATACGAGCCGACTAATCTCCGACTAATATCAGAACGACCATCTGCTTTGCAGATAGCCCAAAGTCATCATATTTGAACCTCCGTATTATGAATGCATGATTGAACTACATTTAACAAGTGAACATGACAAATAAAGGAGGATTGAATAAGACTGGAGTAGACCGAACAGGATAAGTGGGTTTTATCATGTTCCATGTTGTGTCAAACTTAGGATAATGGGTTTTGTCACATCTTGTTCCATGTACCAAAAACAACCTTTACGTGTGAATGGCAAATTAGGTATACGACAATCCGTTAGATGATTGGCTTAAAATCCCAGTACTTCACACATTATGACGGTCATACTCGAACTGTCACATGACCATGTTGATATACTGTCACATGATCGACTTGAAATATGGCATTTTACATTCACATGACTTTCAATCAATGTCTGTTCTTATATCGTGTTCAACTCATTAAGGTTGGTTGTTTGGGTCGAATACAAATTTCATGAGAAGAGATAGATACGAGGATCAAGATTCAAGTTCCTTGTTATGATTTCAAGTTTTAAATTGCAAGTTTGAGATCCAAACCTCGAATCCAAGTCTCAAGTTTAACCTCATCGCAAGCTCGAGATTGTTGTAAGTCATTTATTAATTCAGATATTATAAATATTTATCAGAGTTTCTTTAGTCATTGTAACAAAATTTCCATTTTCACATGTAATGCAAAAACCTTGATTAAAGCTCTTTTGATATGGTACAATTAAACGATTCACGGTTTGAGTAATCATATATTTGACATATTGTTTTTGAGGGATTTGTATTTCATGGTAGAATTTGGAATTAAAATGATTTATAATCGTAAGAATTTGGAGTCTTTGTGGTGTTTGGTTTGTAGGATTGAAAATGGAAGCAAATTATTGATAGAATGGTATAATTTATCTTGAAGGGTTGGGTTTCGGTTAAAAAAAGAGTTAAAGTGAGAAGTGTAATAAAAGATCTCCACCACTGGATACACATCTGATGAGATGCACCGGATCAATCTTCATATCAAGCATGATTCATAAGTGAGTTTGAGATTAAAATGTGATCAAGGGTTCATATCTCTTCTTATGTTTCTCACATGATCTTTCGTCTTATCTTGAAATATCCTAAATAAAACTAATTATTAGAAAAAATAAGTTTTTCTTTAAACAATTAATTACCTATGTTAATGTCTAAAAATTCAAATCATTTAATGTACAAAAACTTACTATTTATGGAAATAAAAGTGTAATCTAGATGTTTGGTGGTATGGAGCTTTTTAGTGGGAAGTATCTATAAATGGATGTTGGTATTGAGATGCCATTTTGGTTAGAAAGCCAATTTTAATGTAAGTTTTTTTATTAACCTGGATATTCAACCCGTTATGCGAACCGACTAATCCTAGGACGACCACCTGTTTTGCAGATAACCCGGAGTCATCGCATTTGAACCTCCGTGACCACAAGAGGATTTTTATTTCTCATTGGATTTGAACCTGGGACCTCCTGGTACTTTTGATCTTTGGAGTCAAGTTCAAACCAATCAGGCACCACCCTTGTAGTTACTTTCGATCTAAGTCGAAGATTAAAACACAATAAGTTTTTTAATTATCAATTTTAAATAAGTTTTAATTGCATAAATAATTTAAACCGCACAATATTATATTATACATCTCTTGCGATCTCACACCATATAAAAGGGGGTTTGTCACAATAAGAATAAAACACAGATAATAGCATTTAGTATGTAGTTTAATTGATAAACGTTGAGACGATTTTGCACAAATATAATACATGTCATGGGTTCGACTCTAAACCACTGAGTAAATAAAAAAAATGTCATCTCATATTGGTGTCTTAGGAGGTAGATTTCATGTGAGGTCGACTGGGACTACTGGTTATCAACTTCTTGTACAAATAAAATACAGATCGCAGTTCTTGAATTTAGCATGTTCATATCTTTAAATCAATTAAATTTGTTGTAGATACTTATAGGGGTGCTCATGGATTAAGTTGATCGGGTTGAAGACATTTGAACAACTCAATTCAATGCTTGCGGTTTGAAAAATCTGAACCCAACCCAACCCGAATCAAAGTGCAACCCAACCCGTAGGGGTTGGTCGGGTTGATACTTTGGTACATTAAAATATTTTTCTAACCTATAATATGTTATTTCTCTATTCATACTTTCCTTTTCATCATCAGTCATTTGATACAACTTACGTATATCACATTCAGTTAATTTTTTCAATTACATATATATGTTCACAGTTATTGAAAATATATACGAATGAGTTATATAAAGATGTGGATATATTGAAAATATGTGTATATAAATAACATATATGATAGTGTAATTGTCTAATGTACATATTAATAGAAATTCAACAATCATATTAAATCCAAGAAATAAAAGGATACCGGGTTCATCGGATTGTTTTCAAATAATAGTAACCCAATATCAACCCAATACTTATGGTTTGACAATTTTACAACTCGATTAGACATCGGGTTGCTTCGGGTTGAATTATTTTATGAGTTGATCGGGTTGGTCGGGTTTTTAAGCACCCTTAAATACTGAAAACTAAAAAAAAATGTTTTGCTTGTAAAGGCAGGAAAAACACAAGGGATGATGGATGGTTTTTGGTAAAGGTAGGTTTGTATGATTGTTTTTGCTTCCAATTGCATATGTTTATCATGAAGAGGCTACCCACAAACTTAGAAACAAAGTCATATTATTTTTAGAAAAAAAAAATAGTTGATTAAATGATTTTCTAACAACTATGACTATGAAAAAAAAAACATAAATTTATTGTTATTTATTAAAAAAATTATATTTTTATAAACATAAACAATCTTGATGTAACCTATAACTGATACAGTGTTACTGATAAAAATTAATTATCACGACAGATGATATCATAATGTGATATACTGTTATCGACACATTTGTGTCTCCTTTTATTAGAATGTCAAATCATATGACAACTTGCTCCAGTAAAATGTCATAGATTGATGTCTTAAGTTGTCTCTTGGAATAAAAAATTAACATCCAAAAGGGTTAAAATCTAGTTTTGATTTGATCAGTTTAGCTCGTACAATATGTTTGTCAAACTTGAAGTCAATAGCCTCAACTCTACTTAAAAGGACCATATCTTCCAGATCAAAAGAAGGTAGAAGATATGGGTTGTTTACCAAACACTTATCCGGTAAGCACTTAACAGTAAAATTCAACATTAATCATTTGTGGGTTGTATCTTGCTTAGTTTCTAGAGATAACTCATGTTAGCGTAACTGTTAATGAATCTGCCCAAGTGCATGTAACCTCATGATATGAACATTTAAGTTGGCTCATCACTCAAAATCCTAAGACCATGTGTGGTCATGTTGTCCGATTCCTTACCTCTCTTGAAGCATGGAAAACGCTGGAACCCCTGTTCATTACAAGATCTAAAGCACGAACATTGCAAGTGCATTTCCAGATTCAATTCCTTAAAAAGGGAAGTCTATTTGTGCATGATTACATGCTCAAAATCCATAGTCTAGCCTAAAGCCTTCCGTATTTGATGATGAACTTGCTCTTTAGATTCTATGTGGCTTCGACCTGACATATGACTATGGTTTTGTTGTTGTCAACCTTACTTCGCATCATGATCAAGTTACTTTGTAAGAAGATCAATATACATGTTGCAAAGTCATGAATGTTCAAAGTAATCACCAATGGCTTCAAGATTCATAGTTGTGAACAACAAAGAAGGCAGAGGCGGAAGGTAACCACCGATGACTATTAATATCACTAGTTGTGTACCCGCGCAATGCGGCGGGAGCCATGAATTTTAACGATTTTGAAGTTCCACTGGTTTTATAAGATAAGATTTAACGATGATATAGGTTACACTTGGTCTTTACATATTAATACAATTTGAATAAATAAGAGTTATGGTTCCAATTACAGACTATCGATGAAAAAAATTGTATGACAGTTTAAAATTCAATATATTTAAAATCCAACATATTTAAACGACTCCATAAATGTGTTTGATTTACACCAAGAGAAAAGAACCAAGAAACTTGAGTTTTAAGATAAACACTCAAAACCAATAAAGAAAACTACAAATTTGACAGATCATAAGCCATGAAAAAACCAAAAAAGATGGGTTTTAGAATGAAATTTCAACTGCTTACCCTCTTTCTTGTCCAGAAACTCAGATTAAAGTTGAATTAATACATGTATATATGTTTATAGAGTACGGTCTCGAATATCATTATTTATGGTATTAATTAACCAATCAAAATTCCTTTCGATATTTCTTTCTTCCTGGATAAAACAACGATATCCCTTTTTCATAAGTTGCATAGTTTCGATATATACCGAAAGAAACTTTTCCCAAAAATCTTGGTTTTTATTTATCGTTATTATTTTAAAAATAACAACTATTTTGAATTTTCTCAGAGTAAATTATGTTTTTCGTCGCTATGGTTTTTTAAAAACTACGAGTTTCGTTCTTATGGTTTATAATTCGTTGTTATTTTGGTCCTTATGGTTTATAATTTATTGCTATTTCATCCTTATAATATATAGTTTATATTTTTGTCTCTTGTACTTAAAGATAGGAGTTAGGCTTAAAATGAAAATAACAATAAATTGTAAATTATAAGGACGAAAATTATAATTTCTAAACCATAAAAACAAAAACGTAATCTAGGGGACGTTTATCAACGCTTACTCTGGTAAGCGCTTACCAAGTAACATTACCTCACCGGATGAATATGGTAAGGACCAAGAATCTTATCCGGTAAGAGCGAGACAAGGACCAAGAATCTTATCCGGTAAGTGAGGGCGACGACTCTTACCACGGTAAGCGCTTACCGGATGAATTATTGTATACGATGTCGTTTTAGTGGACTAAAATCTTATCTTCCAAGTAAATAATAATGTTAAATTTTACCGATAAACACTTACTGGGTAAGTGTCGGTGAAGTGCCCCTTACTTTTTTTCAAGTCATATGTTTTAAACCCAATAAAAGCCCACTAAATGTGTGTTCTTTCTTATCATGAAATGTGTAGCTGAAATTGGGCAAATGCCAATTAAATTTTAGATAATATATATTTAAAAAATTGATTTTTATTTTATTTTTTCATTTAATTAAAACAAATAACAATGACTAATTTTATCCATATTATTATTTGGGCAAAAGGTTGGTTAGCAGAAATTTTAACTGGCCATACATGAAACCTGCCTTCAAGAAAAAAAATGTGAGGGGGTATTTCTTGACTCGCTCAACGGCTGAGGCTAGCTGGAGGGTCTAGGATCGAATATGAGATCTATTTTGTATTTGGACAAAGTCACACCACCCATTTTTTTATTAACATGGATATCCAATCCGTTATGCGAGATGACTAATCTTAGGATGACCACCTGATTTGCAGATAGTCCGGAGTCACCGCATTTGAACCTCCGTGGCCAAAGGGGATTTTTATTCCTTATTGGATTTAAAACTGGGACCTCCTGGTATTTTTGACCTTGGAGTCAAGCTCAAACCAATCAGGCACCACCCTTGTAGTTATCACACCACCAATTTACCAACTGAGCTACACGTTATATAATCTCTATATTATTATTATTACTTTTTAATTATTTTCTTGAATATTATTGAATTCTAATGTTTAAATTAAAAATTAGACAAGATTAATTATATTTTTATATTTAAACATATTTTTATAAGAATTTATTCCAAGTCATGAGATAATAATAATAAGAGAAATTAACTAAAAATAATTATTTTCAACTTTGAATTTATCTCTTAATTTATTTATTTTTTAATTTTTTTAAAATGTCACTATTTTATAAGTAGCAACTCTTCAACTTGCGAAAGTATCAAAATTTATTGAACATAATCTGAAAGCATAAGAACTAAATCTATAAATTAATCCCAACACTTCCTTGGAAGTATTTTATCTAATTTACAGATTTAGTCCTTATAACGGTGAACCATGTTCAAAGTTAGTTTGTAAAGTAAGGGTAGTGATATTTATAATTTTATAAAAAGAAAACGATTAAGATGCTGTTTAACAGTTGCTGAATGGTTTGGTGCTGAATGATTAAGTGGTCAGAATGATTAAGAAGCTTTCGTGATATAGTACAAAATGAAATATAATTGTTTGGTAATTGTTAACAATGAAATTAAGGCACTGAATGGTTAAGGGGGTCTCATGATACAAAATCATTCAGATAGTTTTAGAACCATTAAGAGACAAAAAAATTTTGCCAAATAAAATTCACCTCTTGAGATTTAGGGATAAAACTTTTAAGAGATAAATAAACAACCACTAAAGAGTTGTTTGTTTCTCTCTTAATAGTATTAAGAGGTATTCTCTGAATTGTTAAGAGGTGAATATTGTTTGGCAAAAAAGAAAGATTGTCTTTTAATGGTTCTAAAACTCTCTGAATGGTTTTGTATCATGGGTCTCCCTTAACCATTCAGCGCCCTAATTTCATTGTAAATAATTATCAAACAATTATATTTTATTTTGCACTATATCTTGAGAGTCTCATAATCATTCTGACCATTTAATCATTTTACAATAAACTATTCAACAACTGCCAAACAATCCCTAAGAAATGAATTTAAAGGTTAAAAATCACCTTTCCTATTAATTTCCCAAATAATAAAAAAAAAATAGAGGGGAAAAAAGGTGTGCGTCCGCATCGTCCCTGGCAGCATATTGACCTGCAACTCCAAAGTCCAAACTTATGCTGTTTCGCCGATGGCTAAACACAATTCCCGATTGCCATGACCCTTCTTCCCCTTCCAATCATTATCAGTCAACGCCGCCATGATTAACACCACCACCGCCGTCGCCGCTCAACCTTCTTCTTCTTCTTCTTCTAACACCGCCGCCCAATCTCTCGGTCTCAAGAGCTTCTTCAAAACCCCCGAAGGCCGTTACAAGCTTCATTACGACAAAACTCATCCTTCTTCTCTCCTTCCTTACGCCCTCGCCAAGTCCATCACTCAGGTAATTATCTCTTCCACGCACTTGTCTCGTATAGATTATTTGTTTCTCTATACCTTAGGTCTTTTTTTTCCTTTTGAAGTATTAATCGTTTATGTTGATGTGAAATTGAAATTAGGTCTTAGTGTTTGATTGTGGAAAGAGAAACCCTAGCTTACGTTTAAGGATCGGTAGCTTATATTCCTGATATAACATATAGTCTGATTTCTAATGTTAATCCTAGCACTTTGCCTGATGCAGAAGTTCGCATTAATATTGGTGCAAATTTAAAAACAACATCATTGTACATGTAGTACTTGTTATAAACATTAATTGAAAAGATCATACTCTGGTCTGAAATCAGAAAAATGAGGGATTTGGCATCCAAAGTCAAGATGTAGCTCTCTCTTGGAATTGAGGGAGTGCACGAGAGCCTATTTTGTTTTTTAGTCTTACATGAATTGGATCAGTGATGAGAATCTCTGTTTGTGAATGTTTAGATAACCTTAGCAGACCTCAAGGATCAACCAGTGCAAGCAGCAGCGAATACGTCTTCGTTACAACCTACCTCGAGCTATAGTGTTGCAAGTAGTGGAGTAAGATATGTGACATCAAAGTTCTTAGGAAGCAGTGGCAATGGGAGCCGAATGCTTGGATTTGTGGGTGGAAATGGGACAGGAAGTAAAGCAAATGGTGGAGCAAGTAAGAGCAGCCATGTGGGAGGGTTGAATAATGGTGGCAATTCTACAGGTGGTTCAAATCCTTCTGATGGTAAAGGGACTTATTTGATATTCAATGTAGGAGATACTTTATATGTTACGGAGCTTAATTCAGAGGAAAAGGTAATTCTGATGGTTCAAAGATTGAATGCTCCTTGATGGTTGATGATTCGTTTATTATGAACTTTAACAGAATGCTTTTTCCAGGACCCAATAAAATCAATTAGTTTTGGTAACTCAAATCCTATCTGTCATGCATTTGATTCTAAGGCCAAAGATGGGCATGACTTTCTGATTGGGTTGAACTCAGGGGATGGTAATGCCTTTCCCCAAATTCTCTGATGTAAATGGAAATTTTATATTGCTTTACCAGAGGTAATCAGGTTCCTCACTTAGTTTTTAGCACTTATTTTTTGCAGTATACTCGGTATCATTGAGACTGCAGTTGCAAGATGTTGGGAAGAAGCTAGTTGGTGCCCATCACTATAACAAAGATGGAGCTCTTAACAGCAGGTAAGATATTAAGTGAAATATGATCTCCTCTTTGGTGCCCATCCTAAGTAAGTGCTTTTCATTTGATTTTGACCTTATAAACCAAAATGTTGGTCATCTTTGTATGTTGTAAATATACAATGCAGTTCTAGTCTGAGGAATAAGATTGTTTCAAGTATGCTTATAGTTCCATCTCTCCTCGTTCTACTTTCTTTATTGGTTATATACCTTATAAACACAGCAAAGTATGATAAACTTTTTATTTGACTATCTAGTGATTATAATCTATTGGTCTTAAAGTTGTACCTTTGCATGATCTTAAAGTTGCATATAGTTATTTGATTCTTGCATAAACTGTAACAACCAGTTGGTCATCATGTAAGTGTAGACATATATAGTTGACCACAATAATAAGTAAGTGTCCAAATATTCAATCAACTGGCATTTTCTTGACAGTCGATGCACTTGTATTGCATGGATACCTGAACGTGATGGTGCTTTTGTTGCTGCTCATGCCGATGGAAACTTGTATATTTATGAAAAGGCAAGCCTCAATTTGATCATAAATGCTTCTCTTTATCATTATATTGTAGGTGCTGCTTTGAGTGTTTGATTGAATCTCATATAATACACTAATTTTCTTTTTTGACGTATTTAGAGCAAGGATGGTCCTGGTGATTCTACATTCCCTGTAATCAAGGATCAAACACAATTCTCAGTTGCACATGCACGCTCTAGTAAGGTACATGAGCATCCTTTCTTGATATTATTAACACTATATAAAAACAATTATGTTTTATGTTATGGTCTGGTTCATGATAGGTCCCACTGATAAGAAATAGCATCTTACTGGTTTTTTAGGACAAGTTAATGTGTTTGTTTGTGGTCACCCATCAAGTGGACTTTACATTGGCGTTTGTATATCTAACTCTATCTACTTTTTCTCTTTTCTTCTTTTTATTTTCTCTTTTGTTCTTGTAATGAAATTTAGAAAATACGAACATGACAGCATAAGTTCACAATTACCATGATATAAGAGGTGATGAGAATAAAATGGTGTGGTGTCGAGGTAATTGAGGAACAGTCAGTGCTCTTGGTACCTTACCATCTAGGTCTAGAAGTATGCTATAACCTAGAGAGTATCATGTCCTTGATTAGTATGATTTTTTATCTTTCTTCACTTTTTATGAACATTACTTAAATTATCATGTTGTTCATGCTCAATCATCTAAAAGTTCATCATCTTGTAACTCAAGGGGATATGCTCCCACTTTGTATTATGCACCCATCTAGAGGCCCAAGCCCATTTCTAAGTAATATTCTAGAATAGTTAAGTAGGGGTAATTTGGGTACTTAGAATAAATATTTAGCATAAAGAGGGAGGATGCAGGGAGTGTCAAGGAGGCAGAAGATTAGTGAGTTTTATATGGGAGAGTTCTAGCCTCTCGAATGCTAGTTTGTTCTTAGTTTTCTTTGTTAATCGAAGCGTCTTACATCTATACTATATTATAAAGTATTTGGCAAAAACTCTTAAAAACTACTTTTTATGCATGAAGTACTGTTTATTGATGCATATTACTTAAAATTCAAAATTACAAGTAGATTGTGCTTAAGTACAACTTATTAAAGCTTATCTTTGAATTCTTGTAACTAACTGTAGATAAACATAATCAAATATAGGATAAACATCTCATTTTAAATATAAAAAATCTAAAATATAATTAGGATAATCATTGTGTTCTAACAGAATACTTAATTATTATCTATTAAAATGTTTATATTATTAAACCAAAAATAAATTATTTCGTTATTAAACTTAATTAAATTATAATAATTTTTTTTAAAGAAATTACATTAAAAAATAGAACTTATAAATAGTTGATTTGATATTAACATTGATATATTTTTTTTTTCAAATTTTTATGRTATYTTCAAATTTATATTTTATTCAAAAATAAAATCATTAATGCTTTTTTAAAAACACATAAAATCGTATTATAACATCGACAGAGACAAATAATAAAATAGAACATTAAAACCGAGATGTATCTCACTGCATTGCACGAGTACTATTCTAGTTGTCCTTAATCACTTGGTTTCTATTTCAGTTGTTCAATCGATTCGGCCCATAACACTTTGCAAGTCTGGATATTAAGGATACATCATGCTTGAATAATTATAGAAACAGATAAACAATTGATGTCACAAAAGTGGTACTTGTAAATAAATGGTTTACTGTTGTCACAAGAATGCAGGAGAAGGGCCTTAGTCCGCGGAAGACCTGGGTTCCTTCACCAATGTGATGACATCAATTTGTGATTTGTGAAAGTGTGTTTGTTGTTTCACAGATTCAGTATCATCCAGCTTAAATTGTTAAAAGCTGCCATACAATTCCTTTTCCTTGAGCTCTTTCAAAATTTACTAATCCATCTCATCAAACAGAGTAACCCCATTGCTAGATGGCATATCTGCCAAGGTCCTATCAACGCCATCACATTTTCAGCTGATGGAAGACATTTAGCGACTGTTGGTAGAGATGGTAAATTACTGATCTCTTATCCGCAATATAAAATGCAGTTATTGCCTACCATTCTTATTCTTGATATCATTCTTTTTATGTAGGTTATCTACGGGTATTTGATTTCTTAAATGAACAACTAATATGTGGCGGCAAAAGTTACTATGGTGCTCTTCTATGTTGTGCCTGGAGGTAGAAGCATTCTTGATGATTCTCAAATAATTTCCTCAAATCTTGTTTGTTCTTCACAAAATCCAAATTAAATTCTTGATTTTCAGTGCGGATGGAAAATACATTTTGACTGGTGGGGAAGATGATCTAGTTCAGGTTTGGAGTATGGAAGACAGGAAAGTGGTAGCATGGGGAGAGGGTCACAACTCATGGGTAAATTTTCATTCAATTAGAAGCCAACTTATGCCAACAAGGACACTGTTCCAAAATAAAGGAGCCTTTCCCTTCTAAATTGCAAAGGCTCATTTAGTTTGGGATGGAGATGATAGAAAGAAGAAAAACTATTCAGGGTTTCCATATTAATCTGGACTAGATGGATTGCAGGTTAGCGGGGTTGCTTTTGATTCGTATTGGTCACCGCCCACTTCAGAAGGTGAATCAGAAAATGCAGTATATAGATTTGGTTCCGTTGGTCAGGTATGGTCATAAATACATAGTTACAAAATGAAACATGAGATGATACATTTATTAGAGGGCCGTTAAAATGCATTAGATTATGTTTTGTTATTGCAAAAACAACATTTAACCCAATAATTATCAGCAAACCCATATCTTTTACTATGGTTTGGTGACAACAACTACAGTTTGAGAGTAACATAATCTAATTCGTGCCATATCTCAAACTATACATCTTGCCACTAATCCTGCTCTAAACTCTCAATTCTCACCCTTCATTATTCAAAGTTTATTGTCGAGCGATCTTAAGCTGACCCGTAACAACTGTTGACCAAAAATTAGTTGACCTTACTAGATGTTTGCATTCAAGTAGGCTTACCTAATCTTAAATACCCGTTCTAAAGTGGGGAGATCGATAAAAGGGTTAGGCAACAAAAAATGATCAAAAACTGCCAAACTGAACTGGAATACACCGAGATGGACCGATTCATAAGTTAATGGTAGTTTGGTTTTGCTGCAGTTTTTGGTCTGAATTTATTTCAATCCCTCCATAATTCGCAGCTTGTTTTGGGTTTCTCAACCAAAATTCATATTATGCTGTGTGTTCTTGTATATATTACTTTAGTTGCATAAAAATCTTTCCAGAATAGAAAATTCTGTACAAATACTAATAATACATATATGTGCTTGTGTTTGTGTATACTACATTATTTGTTCATAAAATTTTTATAAATATACAATCAAAACAACATACAAAGAACTAAAATCCCTTTTTAGAAGTTAAACTAAAATCCTATATAAGCGACTTGATTCTCTAACAGGCACTACTCGTACTAAAGTAGTTGTTTTGGCCCTGAAACGGAATAGAAATTATTGTTTGAATTCGAACCACCTAAAGTTTTCTATATATCTGGGACACAACCATCTGCCTGAAATAGGAACCACCAAACCGCCAAGGTGCTGATCTGGTCGGCGATGGTTTCCGATTGAAATCACAGAAAAGCTACAGAACTGAAACTGATAGAAGTAATGTAAATTCTCCAGGACACACAGCTATTGCTTTGGGACCTGGCTATGGATGAACTTGTAGTGCCACTTCGCCGTCCACCTGGTGGATCCCCGACATACAGTAGGACCCAGTCATCTCATTGGGACAGCGTGGTCCCCGTGGGCACCCTCCAACCAGCTCCCAGCACAAAAGACGTCCCGAAGCTTGCCCCATTGGTAGCTCACCGTGTTCATTCCGAACCTCTCTCAGGCTTGATCTTTTCTCAGGAGTCTATCTTGACCGCAAGCCGTGACGGACACGTAAAGATTTGGACGAGACCCGGAGTCTCCGACAGCTCCGACACTTGTACACCCACGAAACCGGCTACCACGGGTTTCAAGTAAACCGTTTTAGATCGATCATATTTCGACCTGCTTTTGCCTATTATAGTGTTGAATTTTGAATTCCCATTGTTGTGTCTGATTTTGGCGAATGTAGAATTGATTTTGGCCGTTTTGAGACCATCCAAGTATAATATTTTTTTTTCCCATTATGATAAAAGAATATACGAGTGTTTGGTGATTTTTCTTTCTTATTGCAACTTACGTAAGATGTAGAAATTGTTTAGAAATTGCATCTTGTTGGGTTTTTTGAATTGGTATTTGGAGTTCTTGCTACAAAAGATGTATGGAAATGTGATTATTTGTGGGTTTGGTTGGGATACATATAGGATTTAACTTCCTGTTTTTGTTAACAAATACAAGCCCTCTTTTATAGATTAAATAATTTACCTTTTTTGTGTCATATAAATAGGCCTAAAAAGTCTTGTTTTGAAAAAGATATAACACATTTAAAATCATTTAAATTCCATAATTTATTTTAAAGGAAAATTGAGATGAGATTATCTAAGTATATGGGAAATCAGTAACTAAAAGATTTTAAAATTTAATTCTTTATAAAAATATAACTTGACGGTTTGTTTGATTTTCTTTTGTTTTATCTATGCGTTATTCATTTCTGTAAGAATGGTCGTTTGATAGCTCGAGAAATTTTTTTGTTATAAAATCATAAATCAAAATCTTCAAAGAAATTGACATTCAGTTGCAATAAATCTTCATTTAACCAAAAAATCTCTGGCCTAGCAATATCTAAGCCTCTTACTTTTTAGGAGGTCAAGAGTTCAAACTTACCAACAATAAAAAAAACATGTACATTTATTTGTTACATTTGTCGCATATAAAATACATCATATACTTCAAAATAAATCTTCATTTAGATATTATAAAATTAATTATATTATTATATTAAATACATTTAATAAAATATTATTTCTCTTCCTTAAATAATCAATTTTAATTTCAAAGACTAATATTGATAGGAATAATAAAATATTATTTTCAGTGCCGAGTAATTACATTTTTAATGAGTTTTCCAAATTTAAAAAATATCTTCTACTTTTTTCATTTTGGAGAATCTTTCAATTTTGGAGAATCTTTCAAAGCAAAAAAAAAAGTCTCCAAAATCTCCATTTTGAAGAAATCTATCAGAGATGAGATGCTCTTAAAACCAAACATATATCCTTGTATTACACAGAATATGATCTGTAATTTCAACAACACCAAAATGCACATCAATTTTACAAATAAGAATGGAATAATATCCTCATAAAACACAAAGTGGCTCTCTCTAACCTCCATTTCTAAAAGCCAAAAATTGGGTTTTAATACCATGTTTTTCAAGTCTCTACTGTTGGTGATGATTCTTTTAAAGCATCCTCTGCTTTCACTTTCTCTGGAACAAAATCTAACACCAAACAACAACAAAATTATTACAACCTTCCAATTATGCACAAAACACATGAATCTGCATAACATACCTGAAAGAAAGTCGAATCTCCTTCGCTTACTAATCACTGAAGCTGAAACCAACACACAAATATGTGATTTTGCTAAAATCCAACTTTGATATGTGTATGTACAGAATGTATGCATCCATGAAAGAATAAATAATGTTTCTTTAGAGTATATGTAATATACGGCAAATACTCGCACACTTCTCATCTGCAGTGAGGTTTGAACCCTTGACCTCCAGGGAGGTTGGGATACCCGAATACTGCTGAGCCAAATACCCTTTGGTAGAATAAATATTGTTTCAAATGCTAAACCAATGAGATAATGCACTGCAGCCATTAATCTCAGATTATACTCGAGGTCCCCAAAGATAATGCCGAAGTAAGGTTAAACCTATGTGTCAAAAGTCAAAACAGTCGATATGGGTAAAATTCCTAAACACTTGCATATATTGTGTTTTAGAGTCATTATATGAACCCTTAGTAAACCATTGGTGCTCTTCATATGATGCAAAACTAAAGGAAAAGAGAAGAATTGAAGAGTAAACGGGCTCATGGTTGCAGGGTTTTTTAGGAAATCATGAGTTTATATGAATCAGCAAGCTCATCCAGGATTGTAAACAGAAACATTAAACTATAGTCTGAGTAAAAGGTTACTTGGGAAAAACACTCGAGAGCCTTTTTCAGAATGCATTATTCTAGAAGTTACGTGTGAGCAGAAGAAGGTTTACTCTCTAAATTTGCAGCATTTGGAACTGTCCCTTAGATGGATAACATGAATTTCCTACCAACCATGGTTCTATTTCATTCAAACAAGCTTTTACCACCACTAGGTGGGATTTGCCCAATTGTTTACATCTCTTGGACCATTCCCAACTGGCAACTCTAATGTCCACAGATGATATAATATATATGGTGAGCTTTCAATTTATTACTTAAACAGCAAGGGGGACAGAATTCTTATTGTAACCTGAGAAAGATACGTAATGATCGGAATACTACATTACTTCTGGCAAAACAGATCATTTCTGGAGCCAATGAAGCCTACTGCAGAGAGGAGGGAGGGGGGGGGGGATGCATATTGAGCAATTGCTAAATCTCATATTACATCTACTACTTCATGAGAAAGCAAGGCAGATAACTTACAAAGGTGTTTGTAATCAATATGCTTCTTTCGATCCAGAAAAGCACTAGCATATGCTTCTGTAGTGAATAGCTGGAGAAACTTTTCCTGCATACAGATAGAAACACACATTAATTGAGTGTGAAACACAAGTGTCAATCAAGCTAAGATCCATGCCAACTGGTTGTTGTTTTAATTTATTTTGGTTATCTTTATGGTTACTTAAACCAAGTTATGTAAGAGGTCTGGCTTATAAATGTGCAGAATGGCAATGGTTGAAACTAACTAAACCAATTGAAAGTCAAATGAATGAGATGACTTTGCCTTTATCAAAAAATCAATCTGGAGACTGATGAATTTTGAGTTGCAAAAGTTTGGACAAAAAGAAGCATATACATTTGGTTTAACTTGTTTGGGGACTCTCAAAGACCTCAAATCATTTAAACAAATCATTAAAATCACAGTTTGATACCAGAAATGAGATATTACATTGCTCAGGTCTCACATTTAGGCCCTTTTTCCAAGAACCATCAAACCCCGCCTTATCATGATGCATCAACACACCAACTCCTCAAGAAGCTTGTCTAAAATTTTCCAAGCTATAGCAACTCTATTCAGAAAGAGGTGAAGTGTAAAAAATAAATTTCATTCGTGTTGATCCACCTCATAAGATGGATGACTGAAATATTTCACAAAAGATAGCACATACAGGTCAGTTTTAACTACAATGATATAATCAAAGAACTGATGTTCAAGACAGATATTATGTTGAATTGCTTCAATTTGTCGGAATAAGAACCCTCGTTGAAGTTAGTTTTCATGAGTAAATTTGTTAGAACTTAGAACCAAATCATCCTTGGTCTATATATGTATCACATTCAGTTACATAGAAGTTCCTATCTAAAAGGACATGGTCTTGATTGTTGAAGATATTTTACATGAGCTTAGTTTCTTAGAATTTCTGAGCCTCTCTCATTCTCCAGTATTAGGAATGGGTAACACTCCCAAATACTAAATAAATCATAGAGCTTCCCTTTTTTCTTTTCACACATTCTGCATCACATGTACATCACAAATTCTTTATTTGCATCAGTCAGCCAGCCTTACTTGCTTAAGATGGTTTTCAATTCCATAACATATAATGCCAAAATCTTAACTTGACTTTCCATAACCAGGCTCTACTGTCCTCGTCTAAGAAAAGACAAACCTCAGGCATTCTCTTCCCAGTTTCCATTAAATCAACCATTCATCATTGAAAAGAGATAATTGTGACCTAAAGAAGGGAAATGTGTCGCTCAGAGTTAAAGAGTTGCATGAAAGCAAGATCCATAGTCTCTAGCAGCAGTTTGTAACCATACAAGAAGGAGCAACATAAGTTTCTAAGCTGCAACTCGACCCTAAGGTGAGGGAGAGGTTCAATTTAAATATGAGCAGAGAGTTAACCCTCTTATATATGAAAACAGGTTATTGAAACATATGAATGGTTCATCAGAAGCTATGTGTAACTTATTGCACATAATCATAAAGCCTTCCACTAATTCATTCTAATTTTCTTGTACAGGGCTATCTACGTGTTGGTAGAACTTAGTAAAGCTAAGTTATGGTAAAGTAAATCAAAGAGACTAAATATTTATGGAGTGACTGATCTTTAGAAATCATCAACCTGACTCTCGTTGCAGCAAACCAAGGATTTTGGAGAATACATGCGAAAGAGCCATTGTAGTTGGCATTACATTTCCCAAAATGGCTCTATGGTCGTTTTACACTTCATGATTGTTTGAAATTATAAGACATAGAACCCTAATTCGATAGGAGTGAAAGGCAAGAGAAATTAATTATACCGAAGCTTTGTTGATGATGAAAACGGCTTCTTGAGAGATACGAATGTTAGGATCTTCGCTCTTAATGATACGGCTCACACGATTCATCGGAATCTGGTACAATGAACTACTCTCTTTCTCCTCAATCTCYTCTTTTCTCTTCTTCTTCTTCTTCTTTTGATTTTTATCTTCTTTCACCTCCTTCTTCGCTTTCTTCTTCTTGTTCGACGCATCAGTGCTGTTTGCCGCATCCTCCGCCTCTACAGAATCATCCACGACATCCTTTTCTCCAGATACTTCCACTTGTCGTTGTTCTTCTTCTTCGGATGATTCTGATTTTGCTCCATTGTTCACATGGTTGTGAGAATTGGAACTCGAAGACAGAATGATTGGAACTTTATCCGGTGTATTTTCTTCTTCAAAATCTTTCTTAACTTTACGTTTTCCGTTGGCTTTCGCCGGTGCCGGAGTGCTTCCTCCTCTTTCAGCTTTTTGCTCCTCCTCCATTTTCCGTTTAGGTAGCAGCAATCTCTGACACGACACGACTAAAAGGTTTGACATTTATAGAGGCCCATTTCTAATTGGGCTGGCCCTATATTTCTAAAAGCCCACTCTTCTCAACCATTTGCTATTGGCGAGCCCATCGTTCTAATCGTAAACTTGCAATCACCAATTCACCATGCAATTTCTTATTAACAAATATATAAAACTAAATTTATGTTTAAATAAAACTATAAGTGTATTTGTGTAATGTAGCGAGATACATTTTGATTTTAATATTTTATTTTATTATCTATCTTAATCATTGTTATAATATAGTTGTATGTGATTTTGAAAAAGCGATGATGTTTTTATGTTTAAATAAAATATAAATTTGAAGATATCATAAAAATTTGGCAAAATTATATCGATATTAGTATCAAATTAACTATTTAAAATTCCTCAATTTTTGTGTAATTTTTTAATTTAAATTTTCTAATTATAATTTAACTTAAGCTCAATAACGAAGTACTTTATATTTGGTTTAGTAATACAATTTTCTTATAAAGATAATAGTTAATTGTTTTGTTAGAACTCGATAATTATCCTAATTATATTTTAGATTTTTTATATTTTAAAATGAGATGTTTATCCTCTATTCGATTATGTTTATCCGCAGTTAGTTACACGAATTCAAACATGGAGTTTTAATAAGTTGTACTTATGCATAATTTACTTGTAATCTTGAATTTCAAGTAATATGTATCAATATAACTGTACTTTATGCATAAAAAATGGTTTTTAAGAGTTTTTATCAAATATTTAATAATATAGTATAGATAGATATTATTAATGATGGTTGAATATATCTTATATATTTAGACATTATTTGGCTAATATAAGATAACTTATTTTTTAAGTACGCGTTTCAATCATAATAACCTAATTTATTAAAACGATAGTTTGAAATAGTTTTTTAAGAGTTTATTATCACTCATTTGGTCTTAAAAAAATATATTGATACAGGTATCAAATTGAATATCATAAGATTCTCGTTTTTTTTTTTTTTTTTTTGTAATTTCTTTAATTTGAATTTTTACGTAACTAGAATATCTTAGATTTAAAAATAAATATGTAATTTATTTTAGTTTTAGATAAAGATATGCTATTCTCGTTCCGATACTTTTAAAATTACGATTTCCGTCCTTATAGTTGACAATTTATTGATGTTTTTATCCTTATGGTTTATAATTTATTGTTGTTTTTATCCTTATGTTTACAGTTCATTATTGTTTTCAACCTTAACACTTAACGATAAACCATCGGTGGAGTTAATTTTAGGGACAAAAACAACAATGAATTACAAAAATGAAAATTGTTAGTTCAAAAGCACATAAACACAAGTGGTGGTGCGTGATTGGTTTGAACTTAACTCCAAATATCAAAAGTATCAGAAGGTCCTAGATTCAAATCTAAGGAGGAATAAAAATCCCTTTGTGACCACGAATGTTCAAATGCGGTGACTCCGGGCTATCTGCAAAGCAGATGGTCACCCTGGGATTAGTCGGCTCGCATAGCGGGTTGGATATCCAGGTTAATAGAAAAAACATCAACCATTTATATAGTTTACTCTAAAGACATATCAATCACATAATGATAAAGAGTTACTTCACTCCAAATGAATAATAACCAAACTCTTTATAAATGATGATAATTCAAAAGAAAAAGGAACAAATATTAAACAATCTCCATTGTTACATATATTCACACCACCTGGATATTGCAAAGAGACCTTGTTGTTAACAGAAGTTCCGGTCGATGAACTTTGGCGCTATTCGTACACAGGAAGGTCGATTTTCGGTTGTTTGTTGTACAAATACCTTTCTTCATCTTCGTATACGCTGCTGCTACTCGCGGCCACTATTTCATTGTCGTTAGATGACATTTTCATAAAGTAGCTGTGCCTGCAAAACAAGCGAATATGCAAGTAAATCTTTTTTAACGGAAATGGGCGGACTAATCCCATGGCAAGTCGAGCCGAGCGTACTCAAGTCGAGTGTTGACCGAGTCAATATCGAGTAGCTCGTGAGCTGTCTCGTATCATTTACACCCCTCGAATCAAAAATAGGAATTGGAATAGAAATAGAAATACCATCGAGAGTCGATAGTCAATTCAGGATGAAATGCAGTTGCTAGTAGATTGCCCTGCTTCACAGCTACAATCACTTTACCATCACATTCACCACTCTCCTAAACCATGAAAATAAAGGTTACAATCACTTTGCCAAATGAGCGAACTCGGATATATGTTTGAAGGAGAATAACCCCGGTTTACATAAAGCCAAACCAAACGACTCTAGTATATCCCACTTGGAGGTAGGGCCTCAGGGTGGGATGTATGTAGACCTGACCTCTACCTTAAAGAATAAAGCAGTTGCTTGTGTGAAGTAAGCGAAAAAAGAGAGAGTTCGCACACACAAAAAAACAAATAAATAAACAAAACATGCAAAGTTAGAAGCAAGCAACGCTCGCTCTGTTCTTATCATCCATAGATAACGTTTTTCCACATCCAAAACGATCAAATTAATCATTTAAACAAGTATGTGCTATGAACTCAAGTGTTGATCACATTCTATGTGGGATTGGTCAAATCAAATAAGTCAACAGTCTAAAGAACTGATAAAAAGGCCCCCATATGCAAAAATACTGATATCTCAAAAGGGGGGGCTAGAGTAACAAGTGAAAATTCAATATATTAAGAAACACAGAAGGCTTACCTCCTGGCTCTGAAGACTGGAACTAGGATCAACTTTTTTGGTTGTTTGAATGGAAATAGAAGCCAAAACTTCAACATCTGGTCCCACTTCAAGGATTGCGGGAGCACGGATAAAAACAGCACGAAAACTTGGAGGGCCCCCTTCCGTAGCAGCAAGGTCTGGCACGGGAAGCTCAGCCTCAAAACTCTGGATCTATATACGACATTTAAGAGAATATAAAATATAGCAGCCAATAGCTTAGAAAGAATTTACATTGAATCACATTCCAATCAAACTATGGGGCCGTTTACCAACACAAATTGGTAAATGCTAACGGGTAAGAGTTGGGTCTGGGTCAGCACTAATCACTGACCAAGTAAGAGTCTATCCCTTAGCTTAAGAGGGGTTTGGTAAACAACAGCGTCTCTGACCAGGTAAGCACTTCTTACTGGGAGGCGGTAAGCAGGTAGTAAACATCCCCTAAATTGAGTTGTCAATCACGATACAATGCATTTTTTTTCCTCGGAGTCTTAATTGTTTATTGACGCGAATTACAAATTGCTAGCACTTACCTGACTACCAAAGAAATTACGATGAACTGTACAATCAAGTCCTCCAACAAGTTCCTGCCCTCCTGTTTTCTGTCCTGAAAGAAAGTGTCGGTGCAGTTCAAATTCAGAGAATCATCGGTGTCATGTTCCAAATTTTCATGCTAAATCTTGAACCTATATATATATATATATATAGGAAGTTACGGCGAGAAGGGTGAGAAGGTTGCTCCACCTTTGGATCAATCCTAATTGAAGATTAACACGGATCGTGTGCACCAAGATGCACCAGATCAATTCTCGTCAGAAGCCAATTCATGGGGTAGGGGTGAGATTAAAAGTAATCAAGGGTCCCTTCTTACGCTTATCACCTTAACTTCTATTCTCACACGATCCTTTGTCTCTCTCTCTCTCTCTCTCTCTCTCTCTCTCTATATATATATATATATATATATATAGTTAAAATGTGAGGAACAAAATCTCACCAGTTGCTTTGTTTGCCAAGAAGATAAGACCAGCACACGTTCCCCAAACTGGTTTTCCCATTTTTACGAACTCACGGAGCGCAGGAAACTACCATCATAGTACCAATTGGATTCAGAGACAGAGTAATGAAGTGTAACGACAAAATAAACCAAGTAAAAAATCAAAACTTGATATCGATTATTTTCACCTTCCAAGCATTCGTTCATTTTGAAAGAGAAAAAAATTGATTGTATTTCAGATAGATGTTTGTTCTTATCATATGTACACTAAATAAGCCATACGCTTGTAACGGTAAAATCTATATAATAATCAATTCAGATAGAAAACCACAAAAGAGCATATCTCCCAGCTAGTCTTTCTATAACTCTAACTTCAAATTCAAGATATGAATTCCAATTTCAAGAATTTTAAGGATATTTGTATGTTTCATAATGTCAACCTTAACATTAGCAAAGATATTAGATGCGTGGATACAATGTCGGGAACGATAATTGTAAAAGATGAGCAACCACAGTGCATCCTGGCTCATTGGCTTCGGCTTTGGCTTTAAGAAGGTTGGAAAGGAAAGTTCATTTCACTTGCATATTAGCAAATAGATTGATTCAACGACAAGTTACAAGGTAAATAACCTTATTGATTGCTCAAGTGCTCGCGTCTAAATGATAGTAACAAGATCATTGGAAATTAAGAACATCATGTCACTTCACAAGATTGATCTCCACTTGTGAGAAACCATATGAACCCCGTATATCTCACATGAGGTGCGGTCTGAGAAGTGTAAGATATAAGCAAGCCATGCCTCTACCCCAAAAGGGTAAGGGAGTTGTTTTGGCATTGAAGCCAGCTTTTGGGTCTGTTTGTTAGCAGCTTAATAATGAATGCTTGGTAGTGGTTTAATGATATAGAAAGAGGTTTATTCGGTAGGCTTGTAGGAGGTGTTTTATGCAAAAAGCCAAGTTTTTTTTCCAAACTTGTCCCTTCCGGTTAAAAAAACACGCTTATTTCATTCAAAGAAAAACATTCCGTTGTCTATACTGACGAATTAATCCACACAGACAGTTTTATCCATACATGACTTAATGGAAAACCAACCACACAGCCACAAAGCTTTTGCATAGCCAATGATACATGTATTCATCAAAGTGTACCCTAGTTTTAGGGAATATGTTTTTTTAGTTTTTAGCTTTTTTTGTCTGGTTCTTTCTAAACTAGTATAAAAGCAAAATAGACAACTTCTTCAGAGGACTTTTGTCGAACAATTCAGTTCAATAAACCACGTAACAGAGTTCCAACACATATATGCATATGGGTTTTTCTAAATCATGAAAAAAACAGGCATTGAAGGGAAAGATAGATCAAAACTTCACCAGATTGTGCAATTCAGCAAGCTTAGCCATGGTGGTGCTCTCACCGCCGGGAATAATGAGCGAGCTCACGTTCTCCAACTGTTCCGCCTTCCTTATCTCCACCCCCTTCACCCCAATCCTCCTTAACGCTGCAGACACACACAAACCCACAGTAAAGTCGTGAAAATTTCCCGTGAAACAGGTACATGCATACACTCATACATCTGCGTATAAACAAAAACAGAAAGAGGGAGAAGGAATGAACCGGCGATGTGTTCGTTGAAAGACCCCTGTAGAGCAAGAACGCCGACCGCCATGTATGACTGTGGTTTTCGAGTTTGGGGGTTCGGGGGGAATGGATGATTGATTGAAATTGGGGTTTTGTTTGTTTTGGAAAAAGGCTGCGGTGTGGTGGAGGGTGAGGCTGATTTCACTTGGTGTACTTGACTCGTATCGTGTAAGACCTTGCGTCACAGGATATCCCTTCGCTGCGTTTCGAATGCGACACGAAAGGGGAGAACAAATAAAAACAAAGAGAAATTTGTTAGAATAATAGAAAGAAAACAATAATACAATAAAAAAAAATGAATCTGTAATTCTTATTAATGAAAAGTTCTTTAAATAGGGATAAAATACGAGTAGATAGTTATGATAAATATTATTATAATCTATCTTTAATATGTTTATCTCTATCTAAATGGTCATGTCCTTTAGACGATAACACATTTATCCTACAACACTCCCCTTTGTGCCGAGTCAAGTGAGTGATAGTGCACAAATGTTGTCTCCTTAAAATTTTACGCCAAAATAGAAATCCAATGAGAAAAAATAAAATTAAGACAAAGAAAATAGTACAATGCACGAGTTTTTTTGCAATATATAGACTTTTCATTTTAGTCTAGTATTCTTTTAGATACGTTTGAGAGTTAGAAAAGCAATATGATACATAAGTTGTTGTCTCACTAAAACCTTACAACACGGAACAAAACCTTACAGAAAAAATAAAACTTTGGGTGAAGGAAAGAGCACAACATACCCCTGATGCGTACATCAATCAAGGAAGTTTGGAAAGTCTCTGCATTCCAATGTTTTCACATGTTTCTCAAATGTTGCCTTATGCAATAATTTGGTAAACAAATCAGCCACATTCTCCTCAGACCTTACTTGATTCACTTGAATTTTCAAGGAGAGTCTGTTGTTGCTGATTATAGAATAATTTTGGCAAAATATGTTTTATATTATCACCTTTGATATATCTTACTTTCATTATCAACACAAACTGCATTATCTTCATATATGCATGTAAGATTTTAAGTGGTTGAACTTAAACCACTAGCCCCTCTTGTAGCTGTAATGACAGACCTTAGCCATATACACTCCCGACCCGCCTCATGTAGAGCAATAATCTCTGAATGATTCGAGGAGGTAGCTACAAGGGTTTGTTTGGTACATTTCCAATAAATCGTCGTGTCCCCAATTGTAAAAACATATTTTGTTTTGGAACGACCTTTGTGTGGGTCAGAAAGATACCCAACATCAGCAAAGCCTACTAATATACAATTTGGGGTTTCACTGTATGGGATAACGCTTTCTTTGTTGATACTTTTAACAGGTATTGTAACTCCATATTTGTAGGGAAAGAATAAGCTCATGTTGATGGTTCCTTTTAGGCATCGAAATATATTCTCGATACCATTTTATGATCTATGAGGATGATATGTTTGAAACGACCGAGTTGGATGATTATTTGTCAGAGAAATTGTTACCGCAGGATAAAGGATCTGATATATTAATGTGATGGAAGTGTAACGGTGCTAAGTTTCCTATCATGCAGAGGATTGCGGGGATGTGTTGGCCATTCCTATTTCTAAAGTAGCTTCACAATCGACTTTTAGCATAAACGGAAACAAGGTAACGAAACAACGAAGTCGACTAAAATCGCAAACAGTTGGAGCATTAATGTGCAACAAAAGTTGGTTAAGGAAATAAATTGAAGATAATAATTATATAAATTGTTGTATAAAATTTTTCTGACTTGCATTATTTTTATTTCAGATAAAAAACACGGAGAACCAAAAGGTTGCATACGATGAAGATGTTGATTCTTCAGTGACTAAAATTATGTGTTGCTTGGAAAAAACCTGTTTTGCATTTTGATGTATCCCATTGGATTCTTGTTAATTTTACAATATTATTATATTTGTTATTATCGTGTTCTTGAATGGCTGCAAGTCCCTCTAGGTTCATTGAGTGTGTCACTGTTGGCAAAACTTGTATAATTGTATGCTTATTTGTTACACCAACAACAAATTCCCCACTGTAAGTCAAATTATTATTATTATTTGCATCTGGGTTTCTTCTTGAATTTGTAACTTTCTTTCAAGATGATTTGTTGGCTCTTTTTGCTTTGGTTTTATCTTTCTTGAATTTGTAACTTTCTTTCAAGATGATTTGTTGGCTCTTTTTGCTTTGGTTTTATCTTTCTTGAATTTGTAACTTTCTTTCAAGATGATTTGTTGGCTCTTTTTGCTTTGGTTTTATCTTTCTTGACTTTGTAGTCTTGTGAAATTGCCCTTTTTCACATATGGGTTTCTTGTTCTTTTTCCATAAAGAAACCAAAAAAATGTGAGAATTCTTCACAGTGGCATAATCTGGATCTTTTCTTTTTTCCAGATAAAGATGACACTTACATTACCTGATTGTGAATCTTGTGATAAAGTTATTATATTGTTGATGGATCAGATTGGACATGGATCTGGTACAAACAAACAACATAGAGACTAGAGAGGAGGCGGAAATCACTATGCAATAACTAACCAGTTTTGCTCACATACTTCTGTAAGTTACTCTACTTTACATATGAGGCATTCGGGCAATGCATTTATCTTGTTGCTATCCATTTTGAATTATGGATCCATTTTATTCCTTCTAGATTGTATAGATTGTGGATCTATTTTCCATCTTAAAAACTCTCTTAACTCAATACCAGATACTTATTATACTTCATGTTCAGACAAATCGATTATTGGTGCCGTTTTATGCACATTATGGTGGGGTTGCAAGAAATAATGTACACCTGCTCCAAAGATGCACATTATGGTGGGGTTCAAGGAACAATCTTCAGACTACATACTGCAAAAGCTAAGAAAGGATGAAACTTTAGACATCTTCCAATTCTTTGTTAATTGAACATTTGAAATAACTTGTAGTATGTTACAGATACTGTATTTTTTATGATTTGGTTTATAGAAAAACGTGTTTCTGAAATGCAGATTGAGTGGAAGATTGCACTGCAAAAGGAATGACCCGGGGGGGGGGGGGGGGGGGGGGTTGACCGTAAGTTGACCGGGACAGGATGTTAATCCCCGTATCTGTCGGGGACTGGGGGCTGTGACTATAAACCGGGGTGGGGGCCCGGGGATTACAAAACCCGCCCCATCCCCGTTGTCATGCCTACTGCCGATCACCGGCTATTACCACCACTTTGAATCATCGCCAGACGCCGCCTATTTGAACAACCACCTATCTGAACCACTGTCGCACCACCGATCTGAACCACTGCTAACCACCTACATCTGACCCACCGTGGACCACCATCGATTAGAACCACTGCCGACCATCACCGATCTGAACCACCGCCGACCACCGTTGATTTAGTAACGTCTTTTGGCTTATGGTTATATTTGGGTTGTCTATTTTATATTGTTTTACATATTAAATAATTATTTTACTATAGTATTTTTAGTTTTAAAAAAAGTTCAAAAAAGACATTTTGGTCATTTACCAATATTTTATTCAAATTACAAAGCTACATTATGTGAACCAAACACATATATTCCAATTCATTAACAGATCTCATTCCAATGTTTGCCAACAAAATATGTGGTCAAATCTTACAATATTCAATTTCAATTTCATTCAAAGTCAAATTCCTTTAACAGATTTCATTCAATCCAAAAACATTTTACGAATAAATGTATTTTTAGTGACAAAGTGATTTAGTTTCAAGTCAGTATTCACTTGCCATGATTGGTTCGAACCATAATTACCCATCATTGTCATTGTGCTTGGTGGTAATATGTGGTGAGATGTGATGTGTCCCCTTCCCAATTTGTAAAAAAATACTTTCATTGAAACCAATAACGTAAAATAGAACAACGCTCGTTCAAATCGTACATATAATTGAAGGCTTTTCAAGTTAACCTCAATTCATTTCTTCAACTAAGACTGTTTAAAAAAACAAATTTATCACAGTTATAAATTTATCTGATGTTTTATTAATTCATAAATAATATCAGTACCCATTTTATAAACCAGTAATATATATTTACAATAACTGTTAAAAAAACCCTAAAACAGTCAGCGTTCAATTAACTAAAATGAAAAAACATATACAAGTTGCATTATTTTCAAATGTCCCATATGCAATGGACTAGTTATTATTATTATTATAATTGGGTCCATACACAAGCAATGTGATCATGGAAATGACCATAAATAGATAAACCAATTTTGAAGTTGACATTACATAATATACCTGATTTTCTAACGTATCATCGTAATGAATTATTTTACGTCATAAAAAAAATTATTTTAAAATCGTGTTTTATATTAATAAAGTAACATAGGTCCACCATGTTCAAAGGACAATATTCATTTTAAATGGCAAGATGTCATAGGCTTCTTTTATAATATTCAAAGTTGATGTAATGACACTTATTATAAACAGAAAAGCTATGTATTTAGGGTGTCTTTAGTGTTCAGACAAGACATGATAGTATAAAACATGATAAGATAGAATAACTGTTCAACGTTTGATATGATAAAACTGGACAGAACATAACAAGTAAAATAACCAATTTATCCCTGATGAGTTGTTTATTTTAATTAATTTATGTAATTTATTAAATTATAATAGAATAATTAATTTTTATAACAAAATATATCATTTGAAGTTCTCGTCAAAACAATTAAAATGACACCAAATAAAAAATTTATGTACCTTCCAAATTTTATCTCTTTTCTACATTATTTTTTATTATTAATATATAATAAATTATATAAATTAATAAAAATATAGAAACCATATAAAAATAATATTTTGAGTACAGTAAAATGAAAGTTTAAGAAAACATAAAATACAATAAATAAAATTTAAAGAATGAATAAAATGTAAAAAAGAGACCTATTTGATGTTTTAGAAGAGAAATAAGTTTTATTTTGAGATTATATTGATAAAATATAAATCTGTTCCACCTTGTTCCACCCTGTTCCATGGGGTATGGGTGGAATAGGCCTGTTCCATTTTGTTCAATTCTATTCATGTTTGTTCCACATAAAAAGTCATGCCAAACATGAGACAGAGATCCATGTCATGTTCTGTCATGTCCAGTGTATCAAACGCACCCTTAAACTTTTACTTATTTGGGTTATTTCAGATGCAATTTTTTTAAGAAGTATTTATTTACCAACTTATATGTTTATTATTATAATATATTGATAAAATTAATTATTAGAGAATCCATAACTGAGGTTTTTTTTGAGGTTATTGTTATAAGGACCCAATGTTTCAACAAGAACTTGAGTTTTTGTCTATGTCTATTTTGTGGTTATTATTTTTTATTGTTTCTTAATCATTTAATTTTATATTTGATAAATCTATAAAACATGAGTTAAAATTATTATAAAATATATTTGTTAATTTTGTTTTATTTTTCGTTTCTTGTAAAATATAAATTTTATATTTTTATTTAAGTTTAATTTTTATAATACAAATTTTATGTGGTTTTGAACAATCAATAATGTTTTTCTTAATAAAATATAAATTTGAAGATATCTTAAATTTTTTAAAAGAACTTATCGATATTAGTATCAAATTAACTATTTAAAAGTTCTTGTTTTGTTGTGTAATTTATTTAATTCAACTTTTGTTTATTATAATTTAATTTAKGTTTAAYRABRAARTAATTYATWTTTRRKTTAATMATMTAATTTWTATAAAKATAATAACTAAATATTCTGTTAGAACTTAATAATTATTCTAATTATATTTCAAGTATGTTTAAAATGAGAATTTTATCATTTATTTTATTATATTTATCTACAGTTACTTACACGAATTCTAATATGTAGCTTAATAAGTTGTACTTATATACAATTTACTTGTAATCTTGAATTTTAAATAATATGCATCAATAAGCAGTACTTCATGTATAAAAAATGATGTTTAAGAGTTTTTATCAAATGCTCTATAATATAATTAGAAGGGTATTCACACAATGCAACAAAATACATCTGAATTTTAATGTTTCATTTTATTTTGTCCCATGTTGATGTTATAATATGGTTTTATTTGGTTTTGAGAAAAACGATAATGTTTTTATTTTTGAATAAAATATAAATTTGAAGATATCTTAAATTTTTTAAAAGAACTTATCGATATTAGTATCAAATTAACTATTTAAAAGTTCTTGTTTTGTTGTGTAATTTATTTAATTCAACTTTTGTTTATTATAATTTAATTTATGTTTAATAAGAAAGTAATTTATTTTTAATTTAATAATATAATTGGTTTATAAAGATAATAATTAAATATTCAGTTAGAAGACAATGATCATCCTAATTATATTTTAGATTTTTTATATTTAAAATAAAATATTTATTTAATATCGAATTATGTTTATCTGTAGTTAGTTACACGAATTCAAGTATTGAGTTTTAATAAGTTGCACTTATGCATTATTTGAATTTAAATAATATGCATCAATAAACAATACTTCATATATAAAAAAAATTTAAGAATTTTTGTCAAATACGTTATAATATAATATAGATATAGATAATAGAAATATGCACCTCTATTTTGGAATGAAAGAAATTCAAGAACATAAACTTATTTTTTTATAAAAAGTTTGTCTAACAATATTATTTTTAATATTTTAATAATATATTATTAATTAATATAGTAACATTTAAAATAAAAGTTGAATAGCATCATATGTCGAATTTATTCTACAATTGATTGATCATAAAATTTTACATTTATTATTTAGCAATAATGGGGATCGTAAGAGTGGTTGGTTTTGATGGGGACATGAGAATATAATTATAGAATTATTTATATTTATAAATCATATTTTTGTCTATAAAATATATTAATATAATTTGTAAAGTTAAAAAATATATAAAATATTAATACAAATTTATGTAATTAATATAAAAATTATATACTTAAAATATTTTATTTTAGTGTAAAAAACCATCTACCTTTTTCGTTCTTAGTCCTCTTCAACGACATCCAGTTCTTTGGATCTTGTTGAGCCACACACAAGATCTTCGACACTCTACACATCTGAATCGTTGTTGTTCGTTAATGGAGGTGAAACTGTGTGACGGTGAAGGTTGTTTTTGTTCACCATCTTCAACCGCCTGTTTGTATACGTACACGTCAAATATTGTACTCATACATTAATCATTAGCTTTGATTTATTATACATTCTTTCCTAAGCACATCCCAATCTTCGAAATGGGTTTGGGTCTTCTTTAACTCTTCGACTTACATTGAGGTTTAGGTTCAAAAACACAAGATTCGTCAAACGAACAAAAATATAAACAGAAGGACGAATATCACAATGTGTGTCCATGTAAGCAGGGACATAGTAAATCACAAATGGAGAAGACTTAGTGAGTTTTTGAATCAAGATTCATATCCAAATCGTCACGTTGATGTATACAAGGACAAAGTAAATCAAATACAGACAAATGGAGAAGAAATGTCGATGGCGGTATGAACTCAAAATCAAAAAACCATAATCAATAGTCATCATCTTCATGTTCTATTTTATATCGGAAAAGAAACAAATCAGTACATCTCAATCAACAATATTCATTATCTTCGTTCTCAAGAAACAAGATGGGTGTTGGGGTTGGAGATCGGGTCTTGGTTTTGTTCTATGAAGAACTTTCCATCTGATTTTGCATTTAAAAAATTGGGTTTTGTCGTATAAATCTATATGGAGCTGGGTTTTGTCGTATAAACCGATATGGGTTTGGATTATGTTGTTCGGGTGTGTGTGAGAAAGAGTTGTATGTTTTTGGTGGCCGGAAAAAAATGATCAAAAGAGGTCATGGCATGGTCATTGAATTTATGTTTCCCTCTTAAATGCTTCATACACTCTTACAAACGACAAAACAGAAAGGTGAAAAAAACCAAAAATGCCCTCACGTGAGAGCGGCACGTAAAGAACGCTTAATAAAGGCGGGTAATAAAAACGAAGCCAAAATCGAGAATAACCGTAATTATTTCGTTTGAGAAACCAAATCCGTAATTTCCATATAACGTGAAGGACAATATGTAATTTAACTCCGGTTTTTTTCCACATAAATAGTGCAAAATTTTCTTGAGATATCGAGCAGGAATCTTGTTTGCACCCTTCCTCACTTTTTATCTGTCACATGCTTGTGTTTCCCATGGCAAGATAGATTGCAACTTGCAGGTAGAAATTATTGGTTCTGATTCAAATAGATCAACTGATGAATCAAATTCTCATATAATCCATAGCTCAATTCCGTATTTAACTGGATCCGCAATCATTGACCCCTCTTTACTTGCCCTAATTTTGATTTATCAAGGTAATTGGTTCGTAGTCTTAACTTTATTATCGCGTGATTAACTATGTTTCAATTAAACTTCAGGTAATTGCGTAATTAGTCTTCGATTACTTTGATTGTTGTAGTTATGACTTGAATGATTGTGTGTGTATATGAATTATGTATATTTCTTTCCTTCTAATGTTGCTTATGATGATTTGAAGGAAAAAGGAACGTTTCGGTGGAGTCAGGCCTGCAAATTCGGTGTTGGCTGCTTTTGAGAAAAACTGGAAGAGTCGATCTTAAGAGATGTTGCTGGCTTTGATTCGTAATGGGGTTTATTTCATCAACTGTTTCTTTCATTTTGCTGAATGGCATCCCTTGGAGTTCAGCCGAATAGCAGATTAGTTAGGGCTTGATTGCCTCCTTCCTCTAATTTAATAGGTCAGCATAATTGAATTGCATCCAGCTTTTTAGTATTTCTGAAATTCGATTTTCACCCTCAGATCTGAAATAAAGCTACGTTTTGTCCAAAGGCAAAAATAATATGGATCAGTTGAATAGTAAAAGGCAAGATATTTTTGTTTTCAGTATTTGTTTTGTAAAGCTTAGTGAAATTATCAAAATTTTCAAGAAAGTTAAAATGAATAGTGATCATGAATTGAAAAATAGCACGCCTGGTATCAGAAGTCAATGCCTTTTTTATTTATTTAATTATTCTTACTTTTTTTAAAGAATAGAGGGATGATTTAGTTCCAGAGTTGTGGGTAGCAAGTTTTTGAGTTTCTGGTTGATTAGCCTACGGATTATTTTGTTTTTGCACAACTTTGTTCCAATAAAGCTGGTAATTTTTACTCTAGATTATTTGAGTTAACACAGTATTGAGGAAGATCTGTTACCCCATGTTCATACAGAGATACTCGGGTGCAAGCGTGAAAGACATGGGCTGTTGTGGTTGTTTTGGGTTTTCCTTTGCGAAGAAGCACAAGAACTTGAAGCCAAGGGTACAGGGTGGAAATCATGTTTTGCAGGAGTCATTGTTGAATGAAGAGGTTGAGGAGGATGAGGAGGAAGAAGAAGATAATAGCTCATATAGCGACAACATGACAGATACTGAAAGGGGAGATCATTCGGAGTTTAGATACCCTGCCAAGAGCTCTGAAGAGATTCTTATGTACAGGACAGAAAATGGATTGATTTGCAGGGAGTTCCCTGTTAAGGAAACCCACAGAGTTGTACGATCAGAGGTAATTTTGAAAGGGACATTAGCTCTATATACTATTTGTTTATTAAAAAGGTTCAGGATGATTTTGGTGATTGTATTGATGGGGAGTCTGTTTCATCCACTCTTTTTAGGCGGGTTTCTTTTCATTTCATGTTTTAAACGCATCTTCAATTCTTGATATATTATTTGGATAATTCACCATTAAATTTAACATAAGGAACGAAAAGAGTTTTCACTAAATTGAATATTAGAAAGAACCATTACCAAACACTCCTGATTGGATTTCAGGCATGGAGATATACGTTTTTAGTAGAGGGATGCCATGAGAAATGGCGCCAGTTACATGGTTCATGGTTAGCTAAGAGAGTATTTATTGAATGGATTTGCCTAATTATTTTGGAAAAAATAAGAACCTGTTTGCTATGATCTCTAAGTGATGATGCATGAACCGGTTTTAATAAATTGGTTGGCCTACTTCCTGTGCCATATGGTATAGATTTTATGAAATTTTCATTTAAGCATAGTGTGTCAGTATAACATATTGGTGTGATAATAGCATGCGGTTTTATATACATTGTATATACCAGTGAGTCACTTAACCTTTTATTTCTGTCTCCTGACTCCCGTAACTTGTCTTCATATTATTAATGACGGCAGCTGTGTTTTTTACTTAGCTCTCATGAGATACTCCATCTGACTTCATTATGCGCTACTTATGTCCTAGAGTGTAGGAACAAGACTTATTCTTGTGCAAAAGAGCACTTCTCCTTCTTGACATAAAGCTGGTTGTGTACATTATGATTTATGGCATTTCCAAAAAGAAGTTTTCCAATCATGCAAATGATTGTTTATGGAATCACCATTTTAGACATTTTAAATATAACTGGGTACCATACATAGACTCGCTATAACTTGAGGTCATTTTCTAATCACATCGCTCTAATTCTCAACAAGCACATACTTTTCCTTTGCTGAGTTTGCTCTGAATTATTCTGTAGTCTGTACTGTACATTATGCCTGTACTTATTTAACTTGATGCTTGGTCATTGACGTAAACAATAAAAAATGGTTATTGATGTGGACAATTTTTGTTTTTTTTTGGCTCATTTTTAGGATGAGAATGGGAGCAAGATGGTGAATGAGTATGTTCGTGAGTATAAAATTGGCTCGGGTAGCTATGGAAAAGTGGTAATTAGTTGATTGCTGACTATTAGTTCCAACACCTTACCCTAGAAGAAAGTGTATTAATCTGCACTTGTTTGACTTGTATGTTCTACAGGTTCTTTACCGAAGCCAGGTTGACGGGAAACATTATGCAATTAAGGTATCGTTCTTCATTGCACTTTTTTCCCGTTCTTTTGATTAACTCTTGTTCTGGGCTAGCTTTCTTTATGGAAAATTGATACCCTAGTTTGCTTCAGAAGCATTGTTTTGCCTTTCTAGTCTCAGGTTTATTTTTACTTTAAATGGTATTTTTAAGGTTCACTTTTGCTCCTTGCATGGAATTTTCCAAATTGAAAGTACCGTTTCATGTTAGTTGGAACCAAATGTCAAATAACTAATATCACTCAACTTCAATTGTCTCCTGATGCATTTGCTCAGGCACCCAAGATTTTTTGGAGCTTGATCATATATAAAAATAGGATATCCTAATTTTGCTTTGAAATCGTGAAAGTATTTGGGAAAATACAAAATATTGAATATAAATGGTTGCTTGTAATATGATTGACCATGTCCAATTCGTTAATGCAGGCCTTTCACAAGTCTCATTTATTAAAGCTACGAGTTGCCCCATCTGAGACAGCCATGACTGATGTTCTTCGTGAGGTAATCTCTTGCGACCTTCTGTACATTCTATTGTTGGATCTTCGATGTGCAATTGTACATCATATTTTCTGTTATATTCATCGTCAAATACTGTGACTAGTTGTTTCTCTTGTGCAAGCTCTACTTTTTATTCTATAATGACATTATTTCTCTTTGGCTGATAGATTAATTGCTCTTAATTCTTTTTCCCAATTTGTTCTTTGTTTTTATTACTTTACGTGCAGGTGCAATTGTTTTTCATGTTTCATTAATTTACTCGCAGGTCTTGATCATGAAAATGTTAAATCATCCCAATATAGTGAATCTTGTTGAGGTGATTGATGATCCTAGCACAGATCACTTTTACATGGGTATGAACTACCACATCTTCTCTCTTATGTATGTATCATGCTCTTTACTTCACATTGGTTTATATATCAATGCTTTATTCATCATCATTTCAGTACTTGAATATATTGAAGGCAAGTGGGTCTTTGAGGGCGCTGGACCCCCAGGTGGCCTAGGAGAACATGTTGCAAGGAGATATATGCGTGATATAGTTTCTGGATTGATGTATCTCCATTCTCATGTAAAACTCCTCGTTTGAACACTGCTATTTTCTTCCCCTGGTCCATTCCTCTATGCAGACTAACCATTTATTAGTTAATCGTCTATTTAAAATACTTCCTCCATTCCAAAACGAATGCAACAATCTCCTTTTTAAGACGGCCAAAGATAAACACAACATTTCCTTTTTCGGGCAAGGTTCAAATCCAACATCACGTCTTTACCATTTAGTAATGATTACAAAATATTGATAGCATTGGTTTTGGTTGACAAAATTCCTCCATTTTGAGGGGTATTTTTGGTATTTCGTTAATAGTTGAACACTTCTGATAAACTCTATTCGCAGTCAAATCTTGCATTTTTTGGAATGAAGTGCAATTTTTATATGAAGCTCTTTATGATGATGGACTTGTATAACAAGTAAATCAAATGGCCTTCTGTGCTCATATCTTCTTTCTTCTTGAAACTCAGAATATTGTTCATGGAGATATTAAACCCGATAATCTTCTGGTTACTGGTACTGGCACAGTGAAGATTTGTGATTTCAGTGTCAGCCAGGTTTTTGAGGTAATGAGCTCCTCATCTCATGGTTCGCTTGTTAAAACTCTCATATATATTTGGTTTTTTTATTTCTAAATAACATTTCAAAATGCTAGCACATATTTTTGTTTGACAAATGTAATTTAGTTTTCAGTGCCATGTTTATCTCTGAAATCAAGGACATTGATTCTAGTGAAAAAGGACGGTAAGTGGTTACTGCACCTAACGTATAAATCATAAAGTACACTTTCCATATGATTCAATTATTTCAAACGAATTTGGAAGACCGCTGTTGAAATTTGTACAGTGATTGCCATACCCATGACCATACAAGAAAGATTCTACAGCTCAATTGAGCCGTGTATGGCAAGAGTGAGCTTTTAGCCTCATTAATTAACTGTGAATATTACTCTTTGTCCCTAAAAATGCACACTTTCCTCTTGGTTTCTCCCGAAAACGAAACATTTCTTTTGTCGATTTTCAATCCAAATTTATTTATTTTTCATGATTAATCTTTGCTTGAATAACTTCGATTTCAGTCCACCCATTTATCACCATATCAGCTTTTGCTGACAACTTTTATGCACGACCTGCCGATCTGCCCATTAAAGTATTATTTATTAATCATGATATTCTTACCTGGCTTTTATTGGTAGGATGAAAATGATGAGCTTCGGCGCTCCCCTGGGACTCCTGTTTTCACTGCTCCCGAGTGTTGTTTAGGTAAGGTGGTTCTCTATTGACTTCATGGTGCGTTTGGTACACTGGACAAGACATAACAATACAGGGATAGTTGTACCATGTTTGACAGGACTTTTAAGTGGAACAAACAAGAACAAAGTGGAACAAAGTTTAACAACTGTGTTCCACCCCGACCCCATGGAATAAGATGGAACATACCTATATGTTACTAATATAACCTCAAATAAAACCTAATCTTCTTCTAAAACATAAAAACGCCTCCCTTTTTACATTTTATTCATTCTTTAAATTTTATTTGTTGTATTTTATGCTTTTAAATTTTATTTGTTGTATTTTATGCTCTTTAAACTTTCACTTTAATGTCCTCAAAATATTATCTTTATACGGTTTCTATGTTTTGATTAATTTATGTAATTTATGTAATTTAATAAATATCAATAATAAAAAATAATATAGAAAAGGTAAAAAATAAAAATTGGAAACTACCTAAACTTTTTATTTTGGTGTCATTTTAATTGTTTTGACGAAAACTTTCTAATAATATATTTTGTTATAAAAATATTTATTTTATTATAATTTAATAAATTACATAAATTAATAAAAATATGTAAAATATGTAAACTGCTCATTAGGGATAAATTGGTCATTTCATCTGTTCTATTCTGTCTACTTTTTACCATACGCTGAACAATTGTTCTGTGCTATCCCGGGATACCATACGCACCCTCCATGTTGCGAAATATATACAGTTTCAATAAGTCAATCCTCCTCTTTTTTCTGATAAATAGGTAAAAATTATCATGGCAAAACTGCGGATACCTGGGCGGTTGGAGTTACCTTATACTGTATGATAATGGGTCAATACCCATTTCTTGGGGACACACTGCAAGATACATATGATAAGGTCTGTGAGTTTTGTAACATCATTGTTCATTGGAATACTTGCGTTTTGGTTTTATATTCATCGAAAACTTCCATTATTTTCAGATTGTTAATAATACCTTGTTTCTCCCTGAGGATATGAATCCCCTCCTCAAGGACCTTATTGAGGGGCTTCTCTGCAAAGGTTAGTTTTTGTCTCTTTCAGCTATTAGGAAGCTTTTCAAGATTTTTTTTTCTGGTAAGTTTTCAGGTCAGAATGTTACTCCCTCCGTCCCAAGATAATTGTCCACATTTCGGGGTTGTTTGTTTACCTCTTAATAGTTCCATTAAGAGACAACCTCTGAATCATTAAGAGGTGAATCTTGTTTCAAAAAAAAGTCTGCCTCTTAATGGTTCTAAAACCCTCTGAATGATTTTGTATCCTGGATTTCCCTCAACCATTAAGAGCCCTAATTTCATTGTGCACAATTACCAAACAATTATATTTCATTTTGCACTATATTATGAGAGCCTCTTAATCATTCTGACCACTTAATCATTCTGCACCAAACCATTCAGCAATTGCCAAACAGCCCTGTCCCAATATAAGTGTCCCACTTCCAAAAGTAAATGTCTATTTTTTCCATTCAGCTCTTAATTATGAGATGGAGAAATTTTCTCTCTATTATTAAGGGTAAAGTTGTCCTTTAGTTGATTGAAAAGTGTAATAGTTACACATTCCTAAAACTCTGCATCTTTTTCATTGTGGTCATTTATTTTGGGGGGGGGAGGGAGTATTTGCCTAATTGAAGCTATTGATTTGGATTGACAAGATTCACTTATTTGGTGTTAATTTGAAGGATTGGATATTTGACAAATGGCCAAAACATTTTTCTTAAACTATGTATGTATTTGGTCATACATTGCAATTTTCATGGGATGGGAGTACTCCGTACTTTCTTTTACTTTTGAGGTCTAACATACTAAATTTTAACTTCATAACTCATAAGAAGTCTTTATACTTTGCACAAAAAAGATTCACATCTACGCCACACTGCATGAAAATGCTAGTAAGTGATGGTGTTGAATTTGAAAAAAAGGGATCATGACAAGATTTGAATATGGATATTAATTGGTTTGATCTTTTTAAACAGAAGCAGCAGCTTTGTAGTTGTTATGCTTCTAAATTGAACAAGAAACATATTCCGAGTTCTTTCAGACGTTAATATGATATAGTCATCTTGTTAATCTCTCTCTCTCATGACATTTCATATGCTCTATTTGAACATGGAAAGTAAATGTTTTGACTTTTAGTCAAACTGTACTTCTTTCTTTAGGGTGCGTTTGGTATGCAGAACAGGACGACACATCACAGTACCAAAACTTCTTGTCCCATAGTTGGTGTGGCATTAGATTGGGATAGGACATGACCTAAGTGGCAAAAATGTACTTTTTTGTCCCACCAAAATAGGTGGAACAAAAATCATAGAGATAGACATGAACAATAAATTACTAAACAACCCATATCAAGTTAAAGCCCGAACACCTTCCACAATTCTTTCATCAGCCTACCTTATGTGTACCAATCGCACCTTTAGGGACAAATAGAGTATCTTCATACTGCATCTAAACCAAGTTATTTCATACGATTATATGGTATGATCATCTTGTTAATCTAAACTGAAAACATCTTGTTAACCCTTCTTTCTAGTACTTCATTCAAATACAAAAAGCAATAGGTTTGACCTATAGGGCCAGGTTCGTTAGGAACCTAAAGGGAACTTCCCGCAGCACCACACGTGGCATATTCATCACGAATATGGACGTGTTATTCATCATGAATGTTTGCAACATATTCATCCTGCATGTTTTCAACATATTCATCATGAACTGTCATGAATGATTAATAACACATATATTCATCATGAATGTGTTATTCATAATGAATATTCATCTTAAAGAGGGACACATGACGCTCTATGGATGGTTCCTGGGTTCATAATTAATTTTGGGTTCCTAACGGAACTTCCCTCTTGACCTATATATAGTCAAACTTGACATCTTTTTTTTATGTGCATCATCATCTAAACAAAAAAAGAGCTTTCAGATGGCAATCATATATGAACGAATACTATGTGGTATTTCATCATGTACTCTATTCGTACAGATCCTACAGAGCGGATGACTCTAGAGGAAGTTGCGGTGCATACATGGATGACGGGAGACGATGAACCGTTCCCCCAATTTACGTGCTGGTGCAAACGGAACAAGTTGCAGAGGGAAGGATCTGATATTATTATTATCAGCAATTCAATTACAATCACAAACTAAGGTGGTGTTTGTTTTTATTTATTCATTATTGTACAGTAAAGAAAAAGGGGCAGATAATAAAAAATAGTATCTTATCGATATTCACATGTGAATTGTTAAAGAAAAGTGGGTAGCGGTTGATTGATTGTTAGTAGAGTTGAATGGTGTTTGATACATGTACTCCTCTTTTCCTTTCTGGATCTGTGTCGGTCCATCCATAACCCTATGAAGCACCAGTCTGCTAACATTTTCAGATCAACCAACTAAATACTCCCCTTTTTTAAACATTCAGGACAACTATTTAATGCTCTAAGCATCTTCTTGTCTGCCTTCTTCTCTTTTAATTCGAGAAATTGATTGAAATAGCCGATCAAGTCTCGTTTCTTCATTTTATAGCCATCTTTTCAACAAGGGTGTTGCCTAATTGGTTTGAGCTTGGCTCCAAATGTCAAAAGTACCAGGAGGTCCCAAGTTCAAATCCAAGGAGGAATAAAAATCCCCTTGTGGCTACGGAGGTTCAAATGCGGTGACTCCGGGTTATCTGCAAAGCAGGTGGTCGCCCTAGATTAGTTGGCTTGCATAGCAGGTTGGATATGTAGGTTAATCCAAAAAAAAAAAAAAAATAGTTGGAGGTTAGACGAGTAGCATTTACGTAACTTCCATAATCTATGTTTACGATATAATATTCAGGAAAACTAGATATTACGCAAGTTACGTAAATGGTACTTGCGTAATGTCCGCTTTTTGCTTCTCCATGTAGATATTATAAACTGGTATCCGAAGGTTCACAAGCGAATATATGATTGACTTATCTTAACAACCATGAGGGGTTGAGTTTGACCGTATCAACCAACTGTTTTTAAAAGACCCGCAACTCATCTCAACAACTATATTATGAGGTGTGTTAACGCATCTCTAACAAATTCTCTAAAATGAAAAAAAAAAATGATTTTGGGTAATTTTGTATTCCAACAGATTCTTTAAAAGTTTCTCCGAAATGGAGAAAGTAGGAGATAGAGTGTAAATTTCTCTAAATATAGAGAATTCTCTAAAAATGATTACCATGAGACATTTTTTATTATTATTATATTCCATAAAAAAAATATTGAAATGAAATGTTTAAGAGAGATGTCAAAAGTGAAACAAATGGATTAGAATAGAGTAAGGGGCTGTTTGGCAGTTGCTGAATGATTTAGTGCAGAATAGTTAAGAGGTCAGAATGGTTAAGAGGGTCAGAATGGTTAAGTGCTGAATAAAATAATGTTGTTTGGTAACTGTTTTCTGAATGACAATAAATTACCATTTTAACCCTCATCAAACAAAAACCCATTAATCCAAACCAACAGATATGCTTTTCCTTTAACTTCAAGTGATGGGTTCGATTCAGGTGATGGGTTCGATTTCAAACAACCAGGTATGCTTTTCCTTTAACTTCCCACTCCATC